GTTCTTCATGAGCATCGCCCTTATCCCCACCATTGTAGCATCCACTTCATCTCCGCCCTTCCTCAACACCACGTGGAATCTAGATTCCAACTTCTTGGTTCTCTCCACATAGGTACTCACCTTCTCGTTCTCTCCTTGTTTCAAGAAGGTGACCTCACACATCAACTTTTCATAACTTTCACTGGGAAGAAAGTTTTCGATCAGGTTCTCCGTTAATGTCTCCCACGTGTCGTCCTCTGAATGCTCCCTCTTGTACTCCTTGTACCACTTGAAAGCAGAATCCTTCAAGAAATCCGGCAAAAGCATAGCCCACTCGTCCTTCTTCCTCTCATTGTTTCCTATGCAAGCACTCTTGAAGTCCCTAACAAAAGCTTCTACATCCTCATTTTCCCTCCCATAAAATACCGGAAGCTTCCTCATTTCCAACTAATTTTTATTTTTATTTTTTTTATTGGAAATTTATATGGGGCTTCCTAATACAATATAAACAACACTAACTCCATCCTTGAGTAATTCATCAAAGGAAACACAAAAGGAATTGGTTGTTCCAAGATAGCCAAAGCTCTCTCCTCTCCTAGGCATATGATGAGTCTTACCCTCATCATCATCTTCTCCATCATTCGAATGATGATCTCCATCTTCAGTTGGAGCTTGAATCCGCTGAGGTCACTTTCTCTGTTTCAGCACTTAGCTTGCCGTCAAACCCTTCCACAAGTGATTCCAGAAGTGCCTTCACTCCGCTGCATTCGTGTCCCACTGGTAGCCCAATCACTCCGCAATTGTCACAGAAGGTCGCGCTTTGGGATTCATGTGGCGATGATGGTCCCAAGTGAAGTTTCAAATCTCCCAAGTTCCTCTTGCTCCTCAATCTTCTATCTTTGTTCCGCACGGAATAATTGACAACCTTATGGCCCTCCTCTCCACAAAAAAAACAATTTTCACGTTTGACTCTTGGAGATTGACTCACTACTCTTTCTTCAAACTCCACCTTGAATTCTCTTGTATTGGAGTCTAAAGACACTATAACATCCAAGCCTTGAGGTACTTTGGATAACCTAACTTTCCAACCTTCTTGTTCACTCATTTTTCCATAAGGTAGAAACCACTCAAAAGACCTCTCCCAGAAACGCTATCTACTTGACGAAAACTGTGAATAAAGAAATCAAAAACTTTTGCTTTGTTATCTTGCTTTTGTACCCCCTCAACTTCAAATCAACATAACTCCGTCTCTAGACGTGATCTCTCAGTGATCTCTTATTGGTTTGACTTAATTAGGGGCTCGTTGAAAAGAGCACAACACGCTTGTTCCAACGAGCCCAAGAACGTTTCAAACGAAGTAGGGATCTGTGAGTTATGGGCGTCGGGGTGATTGTTATAGATAGGCAAAGGTGCGGAGGAGTGTCTTCGGCGGGGGGATGCCTTCGGCGGTGCGCGGAAGAAGATTTCGGACGGCGGATGTTGACGTGGTCATGAATCAAGACTGTACAGGTGTGGCAGCGGCGGGGCATGAAGTTGCACAAGGGAGCCATGCCGTTGTCCATCATCACGGGAACGGCATTCACGCGAGCTGTGGGTGGCTCGGCCCTTGAACGTTGGAGAGGAATTTTCGGCCTGGGAATAGAGATCGTGTGGTGTGCCATTGTGTGGAGACGTTGGTGGGATCGGTAGGAGGATAGAGTGTGGATGTGAGTGATTTTCGCAGGGAAGTGGTGAGAATTAGGAGGGGAGTGTGGAGTGTTCGAGATAAGGAGGAAGCAACCTCTCGTGGGTGGGGAGTTGTATCGTAGAGTGAAATTAGATTGGTATCTGAGATTGAGGTGCAAAATCTATGAGTGGGATCTGAGATTGAGGTGCGACATCTGTGAGTGGGATCTGAGATTGAAATGTAATCTGTGAGTGGGATCTGAGATTGAAGTACGAAATCTGTGAGTGGGAGCTGAGATTGAAGTGTAATCTGTGAGTGGGATCTGAGATTGAAGTGCGAAATCTGTGAGTGGGATCTGAGATTGAAGTGTAATCTGTGAGTGGGAGCTGAGATCAGAGTGGAAGACCTTAGAATGAGAGCTGTGAGTGAAGCGAAATCTGAGACTGAAATCTGACAGTCGGGATCTGAATTTGACACAGAAAAGGGAGAGTTGAATCTGAAAGAGAAATCTGATGGGGTCTGAAGGTGGAAGCTGAGAAATTGACACTGAAATCTGAGTAGGAATTGAGAGTGGAACTCGGAGCTAGGATAGACCACATCAGTTGTGGTATTGAGAAAGTCACCCAGAGATGGGTTAGATCTTTATGTAACAAAGAGTTTGTCTGCTGCTCTTGTGGAGATAGCAGACAGCAAGTTATTATTTTCAGTTCAGGATAATTTGTCTGTGAAAGAGCAAGTGTTTATGATCTCAATGTCTTGAATACACTTTGACCACATGGTTGAGATCAGAGAAGTTAGATAATGGGAGCTCGAACCCCCACCTGGACTACAAACGCTGAAGGGTGGGGAGTTTAGGCTCACATGCCTGTGTGCTGGTGTGTGATCCAGACATTATGCACGGTGCGCACTTGTTTGTTGAAGTTACCGCATCATGAGTTGTGTATTCGGCTTGAATGTTCTGCGTAGTCAAGCGCTCCTTGGGATTTAAGCAAGTTCAAGTCTGAATATTCGGGTCAGTGTGTCGGGATGTATGCAATGCTGGGAAGTTTTCCCCCTGAAATATAAGTGTGGAGTCGCAAGCGATTCCTATAGGTGTTGATTGGAAAAGTTTCAGGCTATGAGTGTGGTTATGCACTACTCTGTAGGTCTTCGGCTCTAGTTGGGTAGTGTCTTCTGGAAGTGGTATTGGCATGAGAAGTTAAACTCTTTAATAGAGCTATTCTATGACAAATCGTGACTTTAGTGGTTGTTTCTATCCTCGTGGGATCGGATATGTACCATTATGCTCCATTTTGGTATTTGTCTATCATTACAACCAATACCTTTGATTATACAACATCATCGATATGTGTTGGTTATGGTAGAGCATTTCTCCAAGTGTATTGAGTTGGTGGCATTACCTGACAAGGCGAATGAGGGAACAGCGTATGACTTCCTTCACAAGATGCTTAGTCACTTTGGTGCACCAACTGAGGTGTTGACCGTTCAAGGTATAAAGTTTTAGGGTGAGTTTCAGGTCTTGTGTGACAAGGCAATGATTGATCATTGAACCACGTAGCGAGATCATTCGGAGCCGGGTGTTTTGGCTCAATGTGGTAACCCATTGCTCGACTTTCTTCCGTTTTGAGTACCATTGCAATGACAAACTTTGAAGGATGATGTGTATGAAGGTGATTTCTGAATCAGCAATCTGCAACACCTCAGACGGGAGCAGTAATCAGTCACTTGCGAGTGAATCTGGACGAAAACTATCACGCGGGTTGAATCAGATAGGCTCAAATGAGAAAGATTGTATGCTGCAATTCCTGTATATACACTTGTGAAACAGCTTTCGACCTTGAGAACGCTGGCTGCAGAAGTCTGGACTGGAGAAGAATGGTAACAATCGATATTCAGATTGGGTATGCGAGAACGAGAGAGAAGTTACTGTCAAGTTCCAAATCCTGAAGTCCTGGACCTGAACAACGACTAGTATGGGGTGGGAACGAATGATGAAGCTGTCGCTTATCGACCGGTCATCTCACCGTGTCAATTTGGATTCAGTGTCCGTTTATCTTTGAATTCCAAACCTTCGGCATAGTTTGACCTAAAAGTATATTTATTTGAACTCGAACTATTAAAATCTTACCATATGTGGTTTTCTCTTAACACTTGAACTCAATGCCCAACCCCAGGCCATGTACTCGACTGGACTAGCAGTGAAATAGGTTTCATGATATAGATTGGAGATAGGCAACTAAGTATGGTGCATAATAGCAAACGATATCTTATGTCAGCACTAGAAATTGTATCATGTTATGGACATGGACTTAATGGATACATATGTGTTCAAGTTAACTATCTTGAGATTACACTATAATTATATTACATTTGAATTTTTCATGTGTGATATGGAAACAATTTACGTTGTTTTGATACATGTATGTGCAAGATAACTATCATGATTGATGTACAGTACCGACACTTTGGTTACGTAGATAAACCAATACAAGAGTGTAAATATAAACTACAACTGATCGTGTTCTAAGCATCAATTGGAATGGAATGGTTGGTAGAGCCTGTAGCGCAATTAGAAAATAGAGGGACGACGTTTCTCATGTTCTCATGAGTAGCAGGTTTTGAAATAAAACTTTGCAGAATGCGGCTGTCAATCGAGTAGCTACTTCAAATATGTTGAAACATTGAATTACAAAGTGGATTTGTCTCTACGTCCGTAATGTTTTTGGTGGTATGATGATGACCAAAGCGTCATTGTGAAAGTTTTGAGAGTAGATTTTACCCAATTACCAAGAAATGTGGGAAAAAGTTGTGTAGGTTCATACCGCATACGTATGTGTATACATATGATATGATATGTTGTAGGAGGAAGTAACTCTCGCATCGGAAAATCTGAGCTCGGAGCAGTAGGAATCGAAGACTTGTCTTAGTCTTCTGTTTACTCATGCACAAAGTACACAAATCTGACCTCAGTCCGAGATAACAACATGATAAACACAAGTGGAAGTTGCGCAAGTATCTCAACAAGGTTCAGCCTATTAGCGGAATAATTACCTTCCCATCAGGAAGTGCTCCTTTGTTTTCCTACGAACATAAGTAAGACGATATTGATGCCGATGAGCTAGAAGAGTTGAATAATTATCTGCCAATTTCAGGAGTTGGGATAATTCTACTCTTGAAAGGAGCATATTATTTAATGTCGTATAAAAGTGAATGATATATCTTATTCCAAATTTTAATTCTCATTATCATTGACGAAAAAAGAATTCTTCACTGTAGTGCGCATCTGAGAACGCTGTGAGGGTTCAATTTTCTGATCTCCGAAAGAGGAATTTCGTATTTCAAACTATGCCTAAGTTTTAAATCAAAAGCTAAACGTACACCAAATCCAAACTGAAATGGTGAGATGACCGATCCTCAAGTCACAGCTCCATCATTCGTTCCCACTCCCACGCTGGCCGGTGTTTCGGTCCGGGACATCAGAAATTGAAACATGACGGTAAACTCTCTCTCGTTGTCTGACCCCTATATGACCATTCCCATTCTTCTCTCGTCCAGCCTCCTGCATCCAGCGTTCTCAAGCTTGAATGGTGTTTCACAAGTGTCTACGCAGGAGTTACAGCATTCAATCTTTTTCACTTGAGTCTTTCTGAGTCATCCCGCGTGAGAGTTTTCGCCCAGATCTACTCGCAAGTGACTGATTGCTTCTTCCTTCTGAGCTGTTGCAGATTACTGATGACCGTCATATACATCATCCTTTATGGTTTGTTCTTGCAATGGTACTCGAAACGGAAGAGAGTCCACCTGGAGATCCATGGAAACTTTACCTATTGAAATACTGATAAAAGTTCTCAGAGATCATGGTCTGCCAGTTTCCACACTTGTGGAGTGTCGTCTAGTTTGTAAGAATTGGATGGGAATCGTTGATGGTCCTGCATTACGCAACAAAATCTGGAATAAAACTGTAATTGTCTATGATGCAAGTACTGACGACAAAGCCTACTTTTGCTGTAGTGATCAATGGATCACAAGGCATATTACATTTGCATCCAACTTGCTAGTAGCTGCTGATGGAGGGTTCCTGTGTTTCAATAAAAATTTGTCAACAGAATTTGTTCTGTATAACCCAGTTCCGGATAAATTCCTGACCCTGAATGTACCTCATGAAATCGATGCAATACCTACGGTCATTAATGGTATGATGAAGTATATGGTGGTGGGTTTAGTCGTAGACCCATACACAAAGCACTTCACGCTGCTTTTGGGAGGAGTTCTACTTCCAGATAAACGCAGATCTTTGATTTACGACTCTGAGACCGATACATGGTCGTGGGTCACTCATCCGTTTCCTCCATTCAACTACCGCATGGAATACAACTGGCGCAGTGTGAAAGGTGTAGAATGTGATGGATATCTGCATTGGCTCGTATGGGATCCTAGATACCTGATGAAAGCTCTCTTGATGTTTGATCTGGAAGAGGAGAAGTGGTACGTCTTGTTAGAGAAAGTCGAGATGGACAAGCCAGGCTCCCTTCAGATGGCTGCGTATGAAGGATATGTGTGCTTACTCGCCATGGATTGGTTACCTCTCGACGGGGAATTCGATCGCAGGAGCTATCGTGGCGCATTTCTCCAGAATCCAAGGGTACGGGCAATGGATAGAGCTCTGATTGGGAAAACTCGAGATCTATGGGTAGGGGAAGAAGGCAGACCATTCCACCTTTACACCGCAGGAGACAGTGATGCCTTCTTCGTCTTCGATGAAGGATATGACGACCTCGAGGTGGCGAAATACTGGGCTCAATTCGACTTGATGTTTCTTCTTCCTGACCCTCCTTTTCGCGAAGACCATGAGTTTCGTTTCTGGAGAATTCCGCAAGAACCCCATGACCCATGGTGTGCAATAATTCCAACGCCCGGAGTAAATGCAGAGCTTGAGTGGGTAACACAGCCGCAGGGGGAGCTGCTTGAAGATCCGTGGGGAGAGGATTCGCCGGAAGCTCAAGGAGGAGGAGAGGAGGTGCAGGAAGGCCCAGGAAATGAGGAAGCAGTGGCATTGCCAAGAGAACAAACATAATTTTAGGTGTTATAGGCAGCAAACAAGATGCCCTAGATATTAGAAAATCCGTGCAAAACTTCCTGCAGGCGTTAACCAAAAGTTTTATTACATCGCCGTGAGGAGCTAGACGATGAAACGTTTTATAAACAATAGCACGAGATCTCGGGCAGCTTTAGGAGCTCCAAGACAGATCAGTTTCATAATCATAGGTCGCCCCTGGGCTGTGATCACCGTGTTTGTACACGGCGTTCAACAGAGGGATCATATTGTGAATTACATCAGATCACTATCCGATAAGCCAAAAGCATGTGGTTTTCCCGAACAACACTTAAAAGCGATTCATGCCCATCTAGTAACGATTGAAGTTAAAGATAGATCTCGGTTGTTTCTGAATGTAATGACACCGACACCTCAAAAGTCGGTGTCATATTCGTGAAGAACTATATCATTTTCTGATGAACTACCGATAGCCAGGATTGTTTGAATCTTGAGGAAACTGGAGGCTTTGAAAAGATTTTCCTCTGCTTGGGTTACCATGGTCTTGAACTGTGTTAACAGTACTCTACTTGAAGTAAGTTGAAGTGCAGAAACTTATGACTGGATGCATCCTCAATTGTTGTGCGATAGAGCTCGCTGGTGTCAATGTACTGTGATTTTGGCTTTCAGATCAGGCCAGCATCGCATTTTCCTGAGCCCAAAGGTCACAAGAATGGAAGGATACATATTCTCTTCTCCTCTTTAGCCATGAAAAGCGAATAACGAATCTTGGGAAACGTATCGGTGGAACGACGAAACCAATTTACTTTTAACGAACTAAATTGGTTTCGTCGTTCCACCGATTTAGTTCGTCATGGTAACGACCTACAGGCAGCTCGGCGACTGCTACCATGACGAGCGCAGCCCCCGATGCCAATTCTGTTCCATGAAGTAGCAAACAAAAAGTCATTTGCAATCAAAAGTATTAGACCTTTTGTTTGTAGAAGGTTTGCTACCACTGTCACAATATCATGTATATATATTCTCACCCATATATATCAAGCTTAACAAACAGTGTTAGTAGATCAATTAGAAATAATAGTAATCTCTCGACCAAATTCGCTACTTGATAACGGAAGGAGTATGTGTACTTAGGCGAATTAGAATTTTGATTTCAATTAAATTGCATACTGGGATATATATATATATATATATATATATTTCATATTAGTTCTCTATTAACCATCCAGGTACCAATCATTATTAGTAAATTTATGAGATATATATATAAGTTTTTTTCTATTTAATAATAATAATATCTAGACAAGTCTTCAAATTTATTATGACACGAATTTTAATTAGACTAATCAATTATAATATTAAAGAAGTCAAAACTAAATTATTAAATTAATTTTAAATATGAAATAAATTGAACAACATGGATGTTTCAATGAAATTATAATGTAAATGAAAAAATTGGAAAAATAAATTGAGTAAACAAAAATAAATTCCAAAATTGATCTAACTACATTAACCTAAAGAGAATATATTTCAATCTTGTTAATTGTTTTATTGAACTCAAATAAATGCTTTATATTTGGATTTAAGGTCAATACCACTATTCAATATTTTTCAAAACAAATGAAATTACATTAAATTTGTCGATTTTGGTTGCAAAAGATGCTTCGTGAAGAAGAGCTACTTGTAGTCAACAAATCCTATCATATTTTACTCAAAACTTTATACTAACTTGAGTCTTATTGTCCAATATTCTCAGTAAACGTATACAATATTATCTTATATTGGCTAGGAGCTTTGTAATACTACCGAAATAAGTCTCCTAATGCAAACATCAAAACATCAACCAAAATTTGGTTTCCAACACAATATTCTTCAAAATTTACACAAAATGACCATTTATGAAATTTTGAATTAAATAAATAATGATACTCATTTTTTGAGTAAAATTATGGGTATTTACCCGAGATGCGTATTCAACCGGGACCTACTCTGTAATATCTAATGTTTTATATATTTTCTCAAAGAAAAAATATATGTATATTACTAAATAATCATTTGCGTATTGTCACAAAGAGAGCATCGGTTGAATGAATTCATGTTAGCAGCGGAGAATCTCATATACACATTGCAGAAAAATAAAGAAGTGTACAAGGCTTTGTATCAGTCGTGGCACGGGAAATTGTTAACTTGCAAAGTTTCCGTGATTTGCCCCGTGGTCAACCAACAAGTGGTGCATGCCCAACGGATTGTTGGTATTACAAGATCTGCCAAAAAAGTATTGTTGTAAATCTTCCGCCCTCCGTTCCAAAACAGTTCAGTGCGATGGTGACTGCGACGTCTGACTTGGTTGGCATCTCTGTCGACGCTGGTGCGCGAAGTCTTCGCTGAACTCGTCCGCAGCATGTTCACTTCATTGACCGAGTGTTCATGCCCTTGCAAAACCTGATAGCTCAGTGCAATATTACATACGACCAGTCAATGAATAAACTCACGAAATAAGCGGACGTTGTGACCACAAAGCTCGGATAGAAATCGAGAATATACTTTCAAACTGGTATCACCGGAAGTGGATATGACGTCTCTTTACGAACAGAATTCTGCTCACCCTCACTCTGTGCCAATAAAGGTTTTGGCACAGAGTTTTCCGTCAAAAGGTGCGTGTAAGACTCAAGGGGTAACCTTACCTGCCCCCAACGCTCTAGACAGCCAAAGCTTTTGAAACTCGGGGTACTTACTGGGATTCCCTACAAAAGTCCAAATTCTACTTCTGTCAGGATATTCACTACAATATCTGCCCATCCTTTTCATCTCAAGCTAGCCATTTACTTCAGCTTACTTCCTCCACGTTTGACAACATCTCCGTCATGTCTCAAGGGATGACAGTCTTTACAATGACATGAATTTTCATATGATGAAGGTAAAGAGACACGGGAGAAAAGTATATAAAAAGGATGGAAAGAACCCATCAAGTCGTACATGAAAGAAACCAAGGGGTGGGATGGCGCTAGGGCCCAATACCATCTCCGCCAGCTACAACCGCATTTCCTACTGACAAGATATTTGCAGGATGTGTTCAATTTCTTTGGAAAAAATAATTTTGGTAAAACAATGCATCAGGTAGACCTGAGAATGTGATGACCTGATCAAATTTCATTCTCAGTGATTCACGGCCTACTTTGGCCACTCTAAGATAGAGAGACTCAATCCGCACTGTTTGAAGTATATCCAACCTGGCGTATTCTTCCATACTGTATATCCCCAGCATTAGGGCCTATTCACAACTGACTGAAGGTCCTCTAACTGGCAGGGATGCCTCACCTAATGACTGAAACTTAGTGCAATTCCGTGTGATTTCTCCCTTAACGCCAGCACGAAGCAGTAGGTTGGCGGTGAGAAAGGTACTTGAAGCAAGTTTTCTGCTTCATCTCATTATATTTCAACCCTTGCTTCTTGACATGTTTAGCAACCTCCCGTGGAGCTCTGCAGCGGCCTGAAGATGAAAACATCAATGTTATATGCTTAAGTTGCATGACCAGCCAAGAACCTACCCAACGATAGCACGTATACGATACTGGAAGAAACTGACTGAAAAACATGAAATGCTCGAAGCCTGCTTGCCAAATTAGTCATTTTTGTGCTGCATTTAAGACAAGTTGGAAATGCTCAGAAACCTGTAAATGGTACGGGGAAACGCGTTGCCTTTCTCGCGTGTGCAGAACGGAATCAAGCTGTGATTTCATCATCATCAATGTATATCATGTGGCTTTCAGTGTATCCGGCGCTGCACACTACCATCACTCTCCTCAAGAACACGACAACAGGGTGTGCAAAATCTTTGGCGATGCATATTGGAAGTGTTGAACAAAGATTCAAACAACCTGTATCATTCGTGCCAACCATGATAGCAAACAGACTGCACTCATTAGCCTTCTTCCTGTCATAGCCTCAAGGATTACTTGAAACAAGCTAAACTCATCATAATCTGAGTACAACGCTGTACGAACAAAGTGATCGAAGAAACCACTGCTAAAACCAAACCATGAGCACAAATCATACTGCTTGCCTTTGATGCTACGCCAATCTGAACGAAAGAAAGTTGAGGAGGATGTAAACACCTTGTTTTAGGCCCATGCACCCCAGTTTTGCTGTCTCCCCAGTACGACGCGGAAGGTCGTCACAGTAACATCATCTGGGGAAAATCCTCTGGCTCTCATCTCATCCAAAATTTTGTACGCCTCCTTCACCTTCCCGGCTTTCCCAAGGGCATTTATCAGCGCATTGTACGTGACAATATTTGGTAAGCAGCCCTTTTCCTCCATGACCTGCAAAATCTTGTAGGCTGCACCTTCTTCACCCGCTCGTCCTAGACCATGAATAAGACTCGTGAATGTGATAACATCTGGTGATAACCCTTTGGACTCCATCTCCTCAAATAGATTCCAAGCCTCCGTCACTTCCCCTACGCTACCCAGACCACTTATAAGAATATTGTATGTTTCTACATTGGGGGGACAGCCCTTCTTTTCCATTTCACCGAAGAGAAAGCATGCATCTTTCACGTTTCCAGACTTAGCGAGGCCATCGATCATGGTGTTGTACACCATCACGTTTGGAGAACATCCCCACCTGTCCATCTCCTCAAAGTGCTTACTGGCGATCTCCAACCTACCAGCCTTGCACAGGCCATGGATCAAGGAATTCAGAGTTACCGGATTCGGAGTGCAGCCCTTTCCTGTCATGTCCAGAAAAAGCTCATGGGCTTCGTCTATCCTATCAGCCTTGGCTAAGCCGTCAATCAGAGAGCTGTACGTGACTACATCAGGAGTATCCCCTCTTCTCGTCATCTCGTAAAAGAGCTCGAGTGCCTCGTAGATCTTGCCAGTTTTTCCTAGTAGGTCGATGAGTATTGTGTATGTCACCACGTCCATGACACAATCACTATCTTTCATTTTCTTGAACACTATGTAGGCTTCCTCTACCCTTCCAGCCTTGCCCAGACCATCAATAAGCACGCTGTAGGATATGATTCCTGGTTTGAGGCCCTTCTTCTCCATTTCCTCAAAAAGTCTGCACGCTTCAACTATCTTCCCAGACTTGCCCAGAAGATCTATCCCAAGATTGTAGGCGACTACATCCAGAGAGCAGCCACTACTAATCATTTCCTGTAACAATTTGCACGCTGTGTCAACTTCATCTGCCTTCCTCAACGCATCAATCAGGAGGCAATAGGTGCTAACACCCGGAGTGTGTCCTTTCCACTTCAGTTCACCGAAGAGTTTGAAGGCCTCCTCCACACTGCCAGCTTTGACGAGGCCATCGATGAGGATCTCATGCACTGGGGCATCGTCAACCACTCCCTTTTCTTTCAGGTCTTCGTAGAGAGCGTAAGCTTCATTCGCTTTGTCAAGTGAATAGATCAGAACCTTGTACGTGATAAAATCAGGTCTCACATCGCTCTTAAGCATCTCTTCCAAAATAGTCAGAGCCTCCTCCACTCTTCCTGCTTTGCCGAAGGCATCCATGAGGGAGGTGTAAGTAACCACGTTCGGGGCATAACCTTCATTTATCATTTCGTGGAAGAGATCTCGGGCTTTGTCTACCTGGCCAGTCTTACCGAGCCCATCGATGAGAGTGGTGTACGTAATGACAGTCAAGCTGCACTCATTCTTCTTCATCTCTTCAAAGATTTCATGAGCTTCACGCAGTTTTCCCTCTTTTGCTAGGTCATCAAGCAGCAAGTTGAAGGTGACCGGATCAGGGCCACAATCGTTCTGCATCATTTCCCTGAAAACCTCGACAGCCGCATGCAGTCCAGACTTGACAAGACAATCAACCACCTTGGCGTAGGCTAGAAACTGTAAACTGTTCCCGTTCTTCCCACTACTGGGGTCATGTATTCTGTTTCCTCCGCCCGTCTTGCCGAGAACTGAAATCAGAGTATTGTAGGTGACGATATCCGGATCGAGGCCATGGGTTTTCATGTGCTCGAATACCCCACAGGCCTCGCTCACCTTATCTGCTTTGCCCAGAGCAAATATGAGAATGTTGTAAGTGGAAACATTTGGAGTTATGTTTTTTTTCTTCATCTGATGAAAAAGGTGATGGGCCAAATCCACTTGACCCGCCTTTCCAAGGACGTGGATCAGGCTGTTGTACACATGAACGTCTCCAACAGCAGGACGTCTCCTGTCCATTTCACGAAATATTTCGTATGCATCCTTCGTACGGCCAGCCAGACCAAGGGCATTGATGAGCACGCTGTACGTAAAAGGAGTGGGCTCGCACTCCTTGGATTTCATGTCTTCAAACAATTTCATGGCTGCAGTAATCTTGCCCGCTTTGCCGAGATTGTCTATCAACCTGGTGTATGTGACAGCCTTGGGACTCACTCCCCTCAGAGGCAACATATCCAAAAGCCTGAATGCCAAATCCGCTTCGCCGGCTTTACTAAAGCCATCGACCAGAACACTGAGAGTGTTCGAATCTGGCTGTCCGCCCAGCTGCAGCATTCTCTGGTAAAGCCTGAAAGCCGAAAATGTGCAATTAGATTTGACGAGCAAGTAAGTGATACAGTTCCAGGGAACATTGTCTTCGGGGTTATATCTGCGAGCTCCTGTTCCATTCAAAAGCTTGATAACCTCGACGTTCTTTCTCGCTCTGGCATAACTTTTCGCAATATCCATGTTCGTCGTGTTGGGCAGTTTCCACCCTACTCTCCGCATTTCAGCCAGAACTCGGCAGATGGTTGAAAATTCATCCACGCCAGACAACAACTTGGTGATGGATGTGCGATTGTGGAGGGCAGGCTTGAATGTCAGCTGTTGTCCGGCCCAGTACAAAAACTGCAACTGATTACTTAAATCCTTCGCGTCTCTGAAGACCGGAATGATCACATCAGGATTCAATTCGAGAGCCAGTCCCTGCAGCATTAGGATAGTCTGCGGTCCCCAATTCCCTTTTTGTACTACTAGGTCTAGGAGCTCAGCTCTGGTGCGGCTTGGAGATTGCCCATCTTTGAGAGATTCGCTCTTTAGACCTCCCCTCTCCAGGAGATGAATGTCAGGTCCAGCTGAAGAAATCTGTTTCAGATTTGCCACTCTGTTTCCCTCAGAGATATCTCCAGAAGAGCTTGAATACCATCTGAAAGGACTCGGACTAAATTCAGCACCTGGCTTACAGGGCCATACTGGTTGCCACGACTCATTAACTCTGTCCAGAGAAGATAATTGCGTACACGCCACTGCTGTCTTCGAGAAAATTTTCCGTTTCCATAGTTTCTGCCCATCTCGTGACAAACTACAGCTGGAAATGTACAGAGCTCTTTGTCTCTGTCTCTCATTCTCCAGATCGAGTGAAACTGCCCTACTGCTTTTGACAGACGATCGGATGCCTCTCTCGAAATCCGGTGCACATTCTTCTCCCAGCTGCACAAGCTGACTGCAAGAAGCACGGAAACGCGACTGGAGGGAACCTGAAATTCCATCGTAGATTCAGCGCAACGAACATGGCCTAAGCCCTAACTCGGATTCTTCTGGCCAACATGAATTCAGGAAATATAAATGCAGAAGCAAAAGGGCAAACCTTTCAAAGATTTCGATCGGAGAGTGTTCATCTCTGATACCCATGCCATCGATCACGTCCTGCAAGTCCAAAATACCTGCACCCAAGTGAACTGAAACCTTCAGAAATCCTCACACAGGCCTGAGACAATTATCTCGTAAACACTCAGACCTCAAACCAACAAATCTCCGTCCGATCTTAGGGTTCACTCACGGCGTTGAGAATTCGAGTCAAACTCATGAGGCCCGCGGATGAGCGCACTCGCTCTCCAATTCAAGCGAAAAAAATTCATGTGGTATGCACCAGAACGCCACAAAAACCACTCCTGCAGGAACCCGGACACCGGAAAGTGTCATGAACGAGTGATTTTGCACCATGCTCCAGGCTCCGTGTTCCCTCCCCGAGCAGCCTCTCTTCGCTCCGATTCTTCCTCATCCCCCACACCACAAACACAACGAGATCCGAGGCCTATCCACACTCGACTGCCTAATAAACGATCAAATCGGAACAGGATTTCACCACGAGGAGAGGAATCGAGAATTCCTTCAGCGATCTCTTCGTGCCATCGAAATGGGATCATACGAATGGACAAAGAGTCCTCGGACGTAGGACCCGGGAAGCGAGGGGCTTAAACCCCAGGGACAATAGACGGACGGACAGCCGGACGGACGGAGGCAGAGAAAGGGGCTTCATTCTAAACCCCTCGACGGACTTACTTTCCTTTTCGATGGATCTGCTTCCCCTTACGAAGCCTTCAACTTTATTCCGCGCTTTTAAGTCCACTTCCCGAGAGGCAGTTTCTCAGACTAAAGTTCCTCGTTGGTGGCTGGTCAAGAGTTTAGCTTACATGTTTCCTACGACCACATATTGTGCATAACAAAGATTTCCATCTTATTTTCAGTGATCGATTGTTGCTTGCAATCAAAGCTTTACCTGGGTCATCCACACTTTCATGATATTTCCTCTTCTTTGATGTTGCAGATTATCTTGAACGTTGAGTGCACTTTTTTTTCAAGCAGCCGACAACTGATTGAGAGAATTTGAACCTGAAGGTCTTTCATTTTTCTTTAAGTTTATCTTGCAAAAAAACCTACTGGAGAAGCAGACTTTGTGAATGTGGCAGTACACATGATTGAATATGTGCTTTATAATGTGGAAATGACAGTTAATATTGATTTAAATTCTCATTCTTAGGTTTTTGACATGATATATGAAATTTATTCGGCCTATACATCAATACACTTATATTCGATTCTATGGAGATAGGAAATTAGTAAATATTATGCCCAAAACTTGAGACTTTGTTACATACTTTAAGTCGCCAACTTGAGATTATGCTTGCATACGAACATTTTGTTCGAATTGAAGATTCTGAAAACATATATATATGTATACGATTTTTTTGACTAAATGATCAAAATCTAAACTCATATATATGTAGATATACATACAGAAGTACTATTTCATTTTTTATAATTTCTTGAATACTAATCACAAAAATTAGTCAAAACTAGTTATTGTGGATTGACGATCGCTGAATTCAAGTAGATATTCTCGTAGAGATACACCTCAGGCAGTACACATCTTAGCGTAAATCTGCTTAAGAAGTAAGAGATTTGTCCAACTTGCGGGTGGGTTTGGCTAAAATATACGTCTTAAATGCTGTGCGATTTTTTAAGCCCTACACAGATAGGAAATCTCTTACACAAATAGTAATGTATTGGATTTGCAATCCAATACATTACCCTTATGTTGAAGGCATACCGGTCATTAAAATTATTGAGAAATTAAATGTTATGTAAACATGAAAATAAATCAGGATAATTTCTTAATGAAGTGATTAAAAAAGAGATTATCTAACTATAATTTAAATGCACACCTCTAAACACATTTAGGAATGAATCTAAACAAGATCAATCCAAAATTTTCAACAAAATTTGATTATTTTGATATTTTAAAAACTTCATATTTTGTTCAGTTTTAATTTATTCCAGAAATTTATTCTTTTTTCTAAGACATTTAGTCAAAATTCTTGAAACTCAATATGTGGTTCTCATGATCTTGTAAATATTGATTGAATCTTCTTAGATTATTTTTTCATTGCTTTCAATCTAAAAATATACCCGTATTAAGTATGAGACACAAGAGAAAACAAATCATCCACGACATCTAGAAATTAAAATTAATAGTATCTTTGCATTAGTCATTTAAAGGCTTTCATCTTTTACAGCTCTTCATATTGGAATGTCATTAAAAAAATGATCGAATTTATTTCATTAAAAAATTCAGTGTAAATAATGTTAATATCAATGAAAATTATAATTTATTCAATTAAATTTCTGTAAGTATTAAAATTCCTTTAGAGAAATCTGAAATCATCAAATTTGACAAGAATTTGTAAGAAAAATCGCCTTACAGACCTTAATGGGCAATTTTTCCTCTGATTAGGATGATAATCTTTGATGTGGAGATGGGAGTATTAGTGAGAGAGTATATGAGAAAATGATAGCAATAATTGACCAAAATGAATTATACCTAGATGGTGTCTTTTGTGTACTTGGTGTTTTGAAATTTGAGAAATAATAATGTGAGTTTTCTACCGAGAACAAGTACATGTTGTTCTCATGCAACGTGGGGAAAGTATCTCTTAGTCTTGATTAAACCATCGACAAGATTATGAACCTACGCATATGATCGATCACGTAAATCAAACACCGAAGTATGTGACATGTAACGTGGTACGTTCCAGTATTGTGACAGATACATAGAGCACAATGCAAAATGATGGTTTCATCGAGAGCACGTGATGACGGACGGCAGAGGAAGCACTCAGGAGGAAGCCTCGAGAGGTTGGGATATCAAGTCTCGATCGTGAAACGCGGTAGGTGCGAGGCAAGGGCAGGGCTCTGGAAGTGCTTCTGGTACCACTCGAGCATGTCGTGGTGAGCTTCATCCGCCGCTCTCCGAGCTGCTTCACCGGCGGGTTTCGCCACGGTCCAGCCGTGCTCTGTTCCTGCGTAGATCTTCACAAAGCTCTGCACCTGGTACAGCAGTTCCGTTCATGGAGTCAGCCGCCGGAATCAGCGCTGCAACTCAGTGTCGCGAGACTGTGACAGCCCACACGCGTAGAGACAAGACATTGGGGCCGATGGGGCCAAGTGGACAGAAGAATCGACGCGAATTCCCCATCTAGTTCCAGGGGTCCTTCCTATATACTACGATGAAAACTATGTCGAAATTGCTTTGAGTTTCTAAATCAAACAACAATATAAATCACGCTGGAATGCTCATGAGAGTCTCCTTGATTGATTTCTCTACTTAGAGAAATTACTGACTGAAGTGTATTGATCACAAGAGGATGGGAATTGGTAGAGTGGTCGACGAACCTCGGGCCGTGAGTCTAGGACGTCCTCGTACATTTTAATCGTTTCGACGGGCGTGCTCGAGTCAAATTCGGCAGCAAGTATGGCCAGAGGTGCTCTTACACCTGCACACGTTGACAGAGAATGACGTCCTGCAGGTTCTGCAATAGTTCTGCTTTTGAGGAAATCCACAATTGATACATCACTCGGAAAGGTTATGGATACGTCCTTACTGTTCATAGCCTCAACTTTTAACAGGCTCGGGTGAAGCAAAACTATCGCCTGGAGCTCTTCCACACCATCGAGCAGCATGGCAAGTCTTGCTGGAACACAGTGAAGCGGATATGTCAGAAAATAACGCTTGTAGCGAAGCTGGTTTTCTTCGATGTCATCTCGAAGTCTGTTCCACGGATTCAGGTCTCGTTGTTTTCACCTGGATTTGGGTAAATTCAATCCTCAACTATTGACCGAGTCCTCCAAAAGATGTGGAGAAGAGAAACAACCGAGCAATTTGTAGCCGAGAGTGACCAGGAAGTGATCATGGCTCCAGATATGTACCTCCCCAGCAGAATCCAGACAATCCGAAGGACGTAATTCCCCGCCTCTTCAGCTCCGTCATCAAGCTTCTGCACTCCTCAACGGATCCTTCCTGAAACGAGGAGAAGTTATGGTGATGAAGTTGTTTGGAGATTGTTGAATGCCGCGAGGTGAAAAGAAGGGGTGTATTTGGTACGGATTTCGAAAGCAATTAGTCTAGTCTCGATTTCTGAAAGGGCATGCCGTACTGCGGTGTGTAGCTTCAACCATTCGGTCACCCATGGAAAATATCTCATATCTCCCACTCCTGGTCGAGGAACGAAGGGATCGCCATGGAAGAAATCGGGAACGAAGGCTGCGAACCCCGCAGCTGCTGCTTTGTCGGCAATAGTCCTGAACCATCAATCGAGAAATTCATAATACAATCACTGCGTTCTATCACGATGAAGCATGAGCCGGTGACGGCAGAGAGACTTACTTTGCTTCACCGCCACACTCTCATAGTGCCAGAAGAACCGCACTGGACGTTCAAGTTAAGGTTTCAGCCGATGCAAGTTTCAGCAGTAAGATCCGAATCCCTCTTATTTAAACACAACTGATTCTCCCTGACTTCGAATAAGATATGGAGATAATCAAATTAACATCTAGACAAATTGGCTTGCTTCGAAGTACCACAATGTGCAGCAGTCACTCGTGCTTTAATCTGTGTCATAGTCATGAAGATGAACGGCTCCTGCCTTAGAGTTTCTCCGTTGCAGTTTTCGTTCTCAGTTTCCAAGCTTTTAGAAGTTTACCAGCTCAAGTGTTATCGACCACTTCTATCATCGGAAAACTGCATCCACAAAGCTCTTGACTGAACGAGCATAGAATTCTCGTACCTCAGTATTGGATTCTCCCATCCTACGCATCGGAGCGAAATTGCCAAGTTGTTTGCAACCCACAGAAGGAGTGCGTCAAGTGGATTACAGTGGAACCGGATAGGAGAGAACAGGAAGTCAAAATGTTCATATTGGAGCTTTACAAGCTAGAGGCCATGGCTGGTCTTCTTTCATGACGATTTCTAGCATAATTAGTATAGCTCACACGCTCTCTAAGAGGCCTGACGGAGAATGAGTTCTGAAGAGCGCTAAATGGTCGGAAACGAGACCAATTAAGTCGAGTGCTTTGTTGGAGCCACTGACCGTGAACATCGGAGGCGAAAATGATAGCTCTGCTGGCCGCTTCCGGCCAATTGACGTAGACGCTCAGCTCAGCTATCGCCTCCTCCTTGCCTTGAGGAACGTATTCAGCCGGTAGTATGGAGTGGGTCACCTCAACATGGAGTTCTTCCGGCCTGCGAGGTCCAGAAACGAGGACCACAGTTGTCAACTCGCACATGCACACTCACATGATAGATTTCGTCTCAAGCGACCAAGCACTCCAAGGACTCCAATGTCTCTCTGCCTAATGTTTGATTGCACAATGTGAGAAACTTTATCTGGGAGCACAGCAACAGAATTCATTGCCCTCTACATACCCTGGACCCTTCTCAGCTTCCATGACTTAATGTCTCGCAGCTCAAATTGAACCTGCTGACCCAACGTGGATGTGGAAACCAAACGTAGTGTGGAGGGAAGGCGACCAAAGCTGATGCTGCATCCAGGTCTTGCTCGACCCGTATCTGTGCGCTACAAACGGCGAGCTGGTAGACGATCCATTTAAGAGCACAGAGGATTGGAGATCGATTCATACGATAGATATCCCTTCGTGCCTGCTTCCTCCTGACATTCAGAAGTCAGGTGGGTAGGGGGAGAGGGAAAGGCGCAAGTCTTCGGTCTCGTGCTTGTCAGGTCCGTGCATGGCTTCTGGTCGCGGCCTCCTACTGCATGGCCTCATCCGGATTCCAGTCCTCCACTGCAGCCTGCCCCTTGCAAAAGCAATTATTGCCGTGATGGGTCCAGCTCGAACCTCGTGCACTGTTGCTTCCCGCTTCCGCAGAGAGCCTGGACGTGAATCTGCACAGGTCCTGCGGAATGTCCCTTCTGTCCGCGTGGATGATGATAGTCGTCTTGAATTCGCCAACCAACATCTTGATACGCATTGATTGGCTCGCTCGTCCTCCCGGAGGACCTTCTGCATTGCGGTGAAATGCACCCTCTTCTGCCATATCCGTAGCCACAGGTCGAGATTCAATCTGAAGAATGATCTTCTCTTCGACCTCTTCTGTGAAAAGCTTTGGGTGATTTCTGTTGTTCTGGAGCAGTTCGCGCCGGTTTCTGACCACCGTGACGAATGAACGTCATCGGACTTTTGGAGCATTATTTTCTGCACCAAAGGATGGACATTGCCTCCTCACTTCATCATTCGTTGAAGTGATCATTGGATCGAATGATTGAGGTCTCCACCTCGTTGGCATTACCCGAAAAGATTACGGCGCTACTCAGTAGTCCAGGTTTCCAAAATGTCATCGACCAGAAAGTGAAGAGGTGGCCGATAGGACGGACACAGCTGACGACAACAACAGATCCATTCGTCAGGACCCCCATAACTTTTAATTCGACCAGGCTTGTAGTGGGCCACAGACAGCCGAGTTCGAGAATGAAGTAATGAAAGCAGTTTTGCGACGTTCCAACAACAAGTCGCAGATGGCCATAGCAGCGATACTTGCCTTGTCACAATTGTATATGTCGAGAGTCTCTTGAATGTTGCTAAGAAGGGAAGTGAGGAACGCATTATTGTAATACACTGACATCATCACCAGCACACACCCTGAATGTCGCGTGTGAGTCTGGACGAATCTTGATTTCGTTCTGCAAAGTTTGATAGATTCTTTTATTGATACGGTTGGGCTCCACGATTTGGTTTTTTGTGTGTAATTAAAATTCATAAAGTTTCATGGGACTCCGGTAAATTGTTCGAGGGGTTATACAGACAGCATAACTATAGAAGAGCCATGTAAATTTTAAGTCAGCACAAACTGTACACTGAACATTTTGTCGTTCGGGAATATCAACAGCGACAGAAGAAGCAGGAGGTTCGAATCTCATGGCGATTTTCTACAGGGAGAATATAGTGAATTTTACCTTCCACATTCCTCGACATCTGACAAATCGCACAAGATGAGTTGATCCACCGATGTCGATTTCAGCCTGAGTAGAATACTGAACATATCCTTGACACTTGCTAAGATAAGGTACATCACTTCATTTACGGTTAGATGTAAGTATGAATAACTCGAACCAATCAAACCTCATGCTCAGTTCGGCACATTATATTAATGCCAAAATCTTGAATGTGTGATTTCTAAGCTTCCTGAAACTACCACTCAGCATTTAAACTTTGCATTGATTCATCAAGCTGGCCAGCAAACTTTCGGAGTCTCAGAAGGGTTCGTCGCTTGACATCTGGAAGGTCCCAACAAATCTTTCCTGCGAGAGGAATCCCATTGCACGAGAAACCCCCTAGCGAAGAGTCTTCCAGACTTCAATTCCCTCTTCATCCCATCTTTCTTCATCTTCTTCTTCGTCTACAACGATTTGCCCCGCTCCGCGATCTCTATCACAGGCAACCACAGATTGATCGATGAAAAAAATTGCAAGAAGACGAGTGACTTGAGGAAAAATTACACTGCCTAGTTAGAAATTGCATCCCTTCAACAAATTCCCCAAAACGCAGTTGTTTTAATCATATGATATTGTGATAAGTGATCGGGCTGAAGTACATTGTAAAGAACACACATATTTGAAGGAGTCAACACTTCCTGCAATTATAAGGTACTAATATTGTGATCACAGGTCTTACTTTGACGGTGATAATTGCGGCTTGAGGTAAAGGGAAAATGAACAATCATGGGATTGACAGATCTTTTCCTGACGTTCCTGACTTCTGTATATGCAAAAGAGTAATTTTACATCTGGACAAATCCAGTAGCTGAGCACATCTTCCTTGTTCGGTTTCGAAGCTTGCACTGTTATTTATTCTCCAGCTCACATCTATGTATGGGATACCTTCCAATCTCCTTCCAACTACTCTTTCAGACACCAAGATCAAATGAAAAATCTTAGAGCTGAAAGGTCTATTTCGCTACGAGAACTCGAGGCGCTTCATTGATATGTACAATCACCTCCTTATCCGCTCAACTGGTGAAGTAATCACGTTTACACAACTCTGTACAAACAACTGACAAGCAAATAACTTCCAAGTAGTTATGTTCTTGGCGTCTTCAGATGTTGCGATGCTATCTAAATGCTCTCCACACATGAATATAACGTGGAGGGTGGGCATCTTACAGATCTGATTACTCAGCACCTTCTCTCTTGCATTCTGCACATCTAATTACTCAGCTCCTTCTATCTTGCAATCTATCTAACATTTAAGCTGGAAAAGTTAGCGTCCACTGGACCATTCATATGACCCGATCACCTACTGGTGTTGATCCTAGTGGTGCTTCTGAAAGTGCATCTAGACGATGCTTCAGATGAACCTGTCTTGGGCTCTGGTACTTCCTCTGCAGCTTGTACATGCTCTGGGCTCTCCTGGTTCTTCCCATCCACAACGTCTCCTCGACCATCCATTTTGCGAGAGAAAGATATCACATTCTCCTCGCCATTGTCTTCGCCAGCCATTGCGTCAACAATCTTCACGTCATTCTCTGAGCCATCCTCGTCTTTGTCATCTTCGTCGTCGGTGTCCTCTACTTCCTCAGGCTTCTTCAGGCCATGAGCTACTTGCCTCTTTTCCAGGCTCTCGCTCCATTCGGCAATCTGCCGGTTTGTGGCCTCTAGGACTTTGGCAACAATGTCCAGGCTGGCCTTCTCAGCTTCTTTCTTCACCTCTTGGTCTGCGTCCTCACACCCCAACATGTGCTTCTGATACTCCTGTTGACTTAGCTTGGTCAGAGCTCTGTCCAGCTTACTTCTGAGATCTGCCACCTGATCGGCCGTAGTACCTTCGCTGATGATGCTTGCCTCCAGATCTTTCTGCTGCTTCCTGAGCTTCTCCTCGTAAGCTTTCCGTTCCCTATTCCACTGCTCTTCTCTGGCGTGATGGCCCTTCAGCTTCTCTTCGAGCTCCTCCTTTTTCACCCTCCAGCTGTGCTTCTTGCTCTCGTGCTCCTTCTCGGCCATGGACATTTTGTCCCTAGCCTTCTGAAACTCATGCTGTAGTTGAGAAATTGTGCTCTGTGCAATGACAGACTTGTCAGCGGAAGCCTGGAGCTCTTTGTTTCTCTTCTCGAGCTCCGAATACTTGGCCTCCAGATCATGAAACTTCTTCCTCTCCACTGACAGTTGGTAATCCAGGTACCCGTTGTACCGTGCCATATCTCGCAAAACATCACTCGTGACCGAAGCCTGCTCCGCCAGCTGATCAATCATCCTCTGAACAGGCCCAGACTGAAAGTAGTTGCCGTCTTCTACCGGCTTCGTCTGCCTCAAGGCCAAGAGATCATCGAGCCTGATATCTCTCACTCCTTCCGGGTTGAACGACGGCAACTTGGGTACTGGCATTCCTTGAGCTATGAAATGATTAATCATTTCCTGGGTTTCAGCAGACCCGATTCCCGAGAGCTGCTCGTGGCACTTGGCGAAATTGAAATTTACAAAATCAGCTACCGTGCCCTTGCCGAGCACATCCGTCAGAAGAAAGGGAGGTCGCCCGATCTGTCCGAGCGTAACTAGAGTGGTAGCACTGTCCTGCACGTCCTTGTCCTTGTCCTTGGGAGCAACCTCGACGAGAACTCTGTGTCCCAGTGTTTGTACTGACTCTCCTCCGACGGGTTTCTTTCTAGGCCTCACCTCCACTTTGCCCTTCTTTTTCTCTTTCTCGCTTGACGCCCTCGAGCTATCCACTCCTTTCTGCTGAGAGGTTCCCGGTAACCTCCTGATCGTTGAAATCCATGCTTTCACTTTCTCCGGAGTCTCTGTTTCTCCCCAGGCATCCCAGGCTTGAGTCCAGATTCCTCCCAGCTCGTTCGTGTGTTCGAACAGAATAGCGGACACGAGGCCTGCAATGCTACATTTGCAGGCCTTATTGTGCTTGGCGCTCTCTTTCATCTTTTCTATGGCCGAGACAAATTTGGGCCATAAGTATTGCGTCCAGTCTACAGCATTCCCTTCCAGAGCTTCACACACAGGCAAAATTTGGCTTCGCGAGATCTTGATGTTACTTGTCAAGCGGAAAATCCACTTGCTGAGGTATCTGTAGAGATCTTTCATGGCGGGGTCTTTGATTTCACTGATGCTCCAATAAGTCTCGGAACCTGAGATGTGTCTGCTGCCCAGCCAGTCGATCTGGTCAAAAAATTCGCTGCTCTGCTCCGTGAGTTCTGATTCCGTGGTCGGCAGCTGCAGTATGTGGGCGAACCTCGTTTCCGTCAGCTGCAATGTTCTTTTGCTCCTAAAAGGCAGTTCATAAGTGATCTTCTTCTCCTTGCTCGACACCTTTTCTACCTTGCAGTCCAGAATGAAGTTCGCGATTAGCTCCCTCGGGGCTATGACTGCACAAGTTTTCTGGAAGAAATCTAAAAGCTGAACCTGCTGCAATTTTTTGAAGAAATCATCGTCTAGGCCTTCCTCCGAACCGACCATGGGCTCTTCGATCACAAATCCTCTGACGAATCCATTCTGCCATTCTTTGGCATAGACGACATTCAGAACTTTGAGGATCTCGTCCGGAACACTCTTCTTCTTCTTTTGCCGCTTGGCAGGAGGCCCTTTCCCAGAAGAAATCACATTTTCGCCTGCCCTCCTCACCATCCTGCCGAGTCGTGTTTACCCCACAGGGCTCTCGTGTCGTCGTTCGCCTGGTGCTCCTCCAGAATCGAGAAACCAAGCAAGAGAAGGAGAGGCTGCAAACAAAGAGAGTCGTGCGGAAACTCCCGATTCCCCTGGAAAGGTCCTCTTAGTCCTCGGATTGGTCAGATTGATAGGTCTCTCTCTCGCTCCAATTTGGAACATATCCTTCATTCGCGCTCTTCCTAAGCTCCTGTCTACTCGATGCTCTAAGACTTTGGGGAATAGACCCGACACTTCCTCGGACCGACGACTGAGATGACTCCGATAACAACAAATACTTCCATTGCTCACTGACCAGTCCGAATTGTAGCCGATTTGGCCGCAGTCGGCCTCCCTCACGCGGACAGCTCGCAGCTTCACTGCTGTTCAGCTGACACCCTCACGCGGACAGCTCGCAGCTTCACTGCTGTTCAAGCTGACACCGACCCGGTCACGAACATTCGCAACATCTGAACTAGGGCTCTTCGAACGAGCTCAGAAGTTTATCGCTTATAGAAGAAAGTTTCTCGACAGTCCTACAACTCCCGACACTCCTCAGAGCAATCCACTTACCGACGACCATTCCGATTGCACGCTGCTGCGAGCGACTCTGCCACTCGAACTCTTCCTCCAGAACTACAGCACCACCAAAAGAGCTGCGTCCGCTCAGAATCTAAAACGCATCGAATGTCGCGAAACCTTGGAACGCAAACGCGCTCGATAGCGCACTCGCTCAGTCCTCAGCTATCTTCCGACATCCAGCCGAGGACGAGAACAGACCACCTCGTCCCTCTGTGAAAACGCCTCTTCTAGCCTTCTATTCAGTAACTTCTCTCCGGCTCACGGGAAAAGTCACTACCACCAAATCTGTCACAGCTCAAACCGAATCTGAATCCCGAGAAGCTTCGAACTCCGAATTGCTCCTCTTCACGAGCACTCGACACGAGCAATCGAGCACTCACCACACTCTGTTCGTCGACTGTCTGCAACGGCACGTCTCCGCCCCCTCATCGACTCTCTCGCTGCGTCTCTCTCTCCGCCGTTCGAAGGCCGAAGAAATTCCTCAGTTCTGATCCGATCACCTCCGCGAGTCGTGCTCCGCATCCGCATCCGCCTCCGCCCGCTGCACGATCACGAGTTGCATCGCGATTCGTTCGAACTCATCGCCTCGCCTCTCCTCTCCTCTCCTCTCTTCCTCTTCGCCTGCCTTCCAGAACGAGCAGCAGCGATCGTCGTCCTCCGACAGACACTCGGACCAATCGAAGCAGCAAAGGACGACGAGCCCACGAGCTCCAGAACCCAACAAGTACGACGACGGAGTCTCAGTCTGCAACTCGGGTCTAGTTCGAACTCATGTGCATGTGTCTGTCCGTCGCTGCTGTACGACGTCGTCCCTCGTCCCGTGTCCCTTGTCCCGCCTCGCTCGACTCCCGTCCCGAGCGCCTCGTCGCATCGTCGCTCGGCGAAGCGACCCACGTCGGGCTCGGGGTAAAATCAACTCACCTCACCGGGCATCACGTTAACTTCTTCAAGGCGCACGAGCAAAAGAATTACATTTTTCACGAGGTAACAATTTTGCCGTCGCGGTAACAAGGGACCGGGCTGAGTTCTGTAAGTCAAGGACGGGACGTCCGTGCGCTGTGCTTACGGCACAGGAGCTCACATCGTTCCGTGTCGGGAGCCTGTCACGAGCGTTTTTAATGATTTATTTCGTTTAGTTGCACGTGAGTTCCGAGACGATCGACGGTGGACGAAGATTCGGACAGGAACGGATGGTCTGCATGTCATGGATTGCATGTAAAGTTTTGCAGCCAACCGAATCCGCCAATGTTCTCGCGTCACATCGTTCGAACATTCCTGAGCGATGAATCTTAATTGGAACGAAGGTGAGCCCGTGCGAAAATTCACTCCCTTTCTTCCCAGTCGTCCACAGGAAGGACGAATCCGGGACGATTCCTCGGGTGCACAAACATCTATTCCTTATTTTCTTTTGTAACGCAAGGACTCGAAACCGTTGTGCAAATTTGCTCTGTCTTAATTTCCGGTTCGTGTTCAGATTGAAGTGGAATGCAATTTCGGTCAAAATTATGGGCGTGTCCATAAGCTGGAAGATGAGGAGGCATGTTCAAATTCGTGCTTTGTTTTCAGATCGCGTCGAGCGAGAACTTCCGATTCGACTGAACGCAGCTCGTACGTTTCCCTCGTACATGGCTCCTCATAATCTAGGATGAAAGTGCGAAGGAGCTCTGGGCTCGGGTATCGACCTTCGAGACGTAGGGCCGGCTTGATTTTCGTCGCTTGGTTTGGTGTGGTGTCTGGGCGGACCATTGGTTCTGTTCACGGGCTACTGATGACTTCGGGTGTACTTCGATGGCGACTCGTAGATTGGAGGAAGATCTACTTGTGTGGGGAAAGATGAATCTTCATGTTGTTGAGTTGTGGCAATGATTCTCGGTTCTTTATGTACAAGCTTGAGGGTTGGAGTTGATCTTCCAAGTGCGGGGAAGATCCAATCCTCAGCAGTTGGATGACAGAATGGAACACACTCGAAAAAATACTTTCGGTTATGCTTGTTCTTCTTTGGATGCGTGGATTCTGGTACGAAAGCATTTGGAACAAGCTGAAAAGTGAACTCGTTGGTTTATCTTTCCACACGATGAATCTTGTGTGGGTGTGTCTCGACGATTGAGTTCAGATATATGTCGAGTCTGAGCTTGGATCGTGCACATCATCCATCGATGGCGTTTTGCCTCTCTTTGATTTTTATCATAATAGAATGTCCCAAGTTCCCAGTTTACAATAGAACAATGTCAATGGGTTTTTGTACGCTCTTTATATTGCACTCACGAGCAGGCTATTTGACATGTGAAGTTTTTTAAATTTATTCCATGATATGTCTATGAATATATTCATAGATCATTGCTGTATACCATAACTCTGTAAGATTAACACATTTCAATATTCAACGAAGAAAAGAAACTATTGTAAGAGTTGGATATCTTATGAAGATTGAGATTTTTTATAATGCAAATAAAGAAAATTAGTTATTTTTTGAATGAACTTTATAGCCAATCACTTTAGAAAATGTTATATTAGTGATGTTTACATATCATCAGTCAAATCGGAAGGTTAAATAAATTTTATTTTTCATATATGAAAACAATGAAATATCATTATGGAGCTTTAAATTTCTATAAGTTCCATTTCACACAAGGTAAATATGAGTACAAATTTCTTACAAAATTTACATCATGTTTCTCTACTAACGTTTTGATAAAATCTTCAATATTAATATTTCTTCATTGAATTTCAAAGTATATTTGTATTGCAACTGTACAGTACATATGATTTTATGATAAAGCATTAAATTTATCTTTTATATGATTATCATATTGTAGTTTAATTCAACCAACCCAATCATACACAATCAACATCATCATCTTTTAAGAATCGTTTTTTTCACCTTGTATTTGTTCTTAAAACCAGCTAATTTCAATCCTCATGAACTACATATTTATTCAAAATCATATCTATGTGAATTCAAACCATACCTTCAGCATATTTTTAGTTGTTCAATTAACACATATTATTCATACATGCATTTTTTTAATTTAAATTTTTTAAAAGAAATTAAAGATGTCATTAATCATATATCTTACAAAAAATTGGAAAAATCCATAAAAAAATATTTGAAAAAATATTTTCATATATCAACAAATTGCACTATGAAAGTCTAAAGATTTAAGAAGAACTATTTTACCACCTCAAACGCTCAAAAATTATGCTTAAATATCAATTTTTGTGTTTGCAACATTAGAAAAAATTTGAAAATCACAAATTATGTCTTAAAAATAAAAAAGATAAAATTTTAAATCACTGTATGATGTCAGACAATGAGACTAAACAAATATCAAAATATCCATCAACTTCTAATTTGACGAAATGAAGAATGTGGTTTGAATCTAAAATGACAACAAATTAACGAAGACAATAAAGTGACTAAGTTTAAATAATTTTTAAATCGAATGAGATTGTAGAGATTCATGAAATACACAATTTCTTCATCAATGATAGATTAATTCATCTCATTGGTTTGTTTTGAACATTTTATTTAAATAATTCAATATCACAGAATGTAAATGATCTATCATACTTAAATTTAGTATCAAACATAGAAATGCAATAATGATGTAATATGTATTAATTGCATTTTGCTTAAAAGAAATATGATTATTTTTTTGCATCTTTCATAATATTTTAATCAAAGCATTACTTCATTATTCAAGATTATAGGTGAAAAAATTATATTATAACAGTAAATTTAATTTGAAATTTGAAAATAATTATGTTCAAAATATAATTATGCAATATTGTGTTGATTTGTAATAAATTATCACATTAGTGATTTGTATGTTAGATAAAAAATGAACTTGTTCAATGAAACAACATGTCCAAAAAATTATAACTATTAATGATATCCACCGTATCATTGATCCGCTAAGAATGATGAATATTATGTCGTTGTAACTTAAAATAAAGGTCAAATATGTAAGGTAGTTTTTTTTTTACTACACTATTATCCAAAATGATTGATTGAATCAAACAATCTAGGATTGATCAAGTTGGTAGGGGCAATCCGGCATGGCCAATTTTATACAGTTTTATTTCTTGATTTATCCCACCGTCTATAACTCTTGACTATACGTATAAATTTTTTACACATATATTCTAGAACTGCATTTATTGTTTATACCTACATACATCCGGGCATGACTCCTATAAAAATTGCCAAGGAGCTTGTGCACCCAAACCTAGTCTCTGGGGTTTTCTCGCTACCCCAACTCTAAACATCTTTCCCAGTGCCGTCGTTGAGGTAAATTGATTCTTGTTGGGTCCCAGTAATGATTGTATCCCGAGGGTAACTTAAAATAATTTCCTCCGACTGTTTCGTCTCTTTCAAAGTTTGTTTTAGCTCGTAGAAGTAGAGAGCATAAGGTCATGGAAACATACTCTCGCTGCTAGTGTTGTTCTCCACCAGCGTTCGTGTGACATATTTAAAGTGTACAACCTTTGACAAATACTTCACTTTGGGTACAATTATTTGTTGTTCTCTTCACGCAATGAAGTCGTGATTACCTAGTTGAGTTCTAGCAGATGCTGATTTAATTTCTAGATTTGTTCATCTCTACTTACTAGCGTACACTTTAACCTAACTCGTGTAGAATACGATGTGACAACTAGTACCGTCTCTTACTCAGGTAAGTCGGCATTCAGATTACCGCATGCACAAAAAATTCGCAATCACTCAATATTAATAACACAAACCTCCATGTGAAAGTATAGAGTCTACTATGCTTGTTAACCACGACCTTCCACGGCGAATTTCATTATGCACAAATATAAGATCTCTTTAATCCTTCAATATGATCATTCCATGGTTCAAAAGAAGCCAAGCGCAGAACCGGACATGACCATCACACGTTGTCCTAATCAAGCCACGGAGCAAGCTCACGGGTAGTCCAAAAATGAGGAAATACCACAAAAAGTAATCCTAGCTTCCTTGCACATATGAAACTCGCACAGTTCCGATCACAACCACAAACAGCATACACTAGGACTCAACAGCCTCGTCCATGGCCAGAACAGTAAGCAGAGGGCTTACAAGCAGATCTCAACTTCGAATTGCAGACTTCCATTTAAATCAAACTGGAAAAATATCATGACCCATGAGAGTCAAGTCACATAAAAAACAGCCAAATCTGCGGAGTAAGGAGGTTCATGCTCTACAGTTATGAAGTCAGCTGGGCGAAGATGCTATGAAGAACAATTGAACAGTTCCAGAGCAAGTTTTATATTTGTCCAACTGGTGGAAGGACGTATAGTGCTTACAAGAACACGATAAATTCGACTCACATACGATCAGGACGTATCTTTATTAAAGCACCGGACTGATTGATTCTGTGTCCAAAAAAATACTCTAAGAGCCAGTGACGCGTGACCAGGTAGATTGCATCAAGTTACCCAATTGTGTTCAACCTGATCACTTCTTCATGAAAGTAACAACAAAAATGAATTGCTGGCTCGAACGTTCCACCATGAGGTGACATCATGCTTCTCCATTCCATTCTATCAGATGATCACCTTCACAAGGGCAACAACCAATGTAAGCAACAAACTGAGACAGCAGGGTCCAGATTCCTAGGGTTAATAGGAAAATGCTTATCACACCACAATCTAAGCATCTACTTTCAACAGTTTTTTTTAGGGTGGTGATCTAAGCAAACACAAATGCTGCACTAAAATCCTTCGCGATCCTTCAGTACAAGATGCTTAGGGAAACGAAGAACATCAGAAGATGGAGACATCATTCAAAAAAACTGATTCCTCCAATGGTGCTTCCTGGAGTTTCCTCTGGCCAAGTCGATAACAGAGGTTCGGTTCCATATGAACAAAACTTTGAAAACTTCACATAGAAGAGGCAAAATGCCTTACCTGTGGGCATGTACATTGATGAAAGGAGATTTCTGTGCATCCTCCGCTGCAGATTACAAAGAATATATGTTAACATACGAGAATTTGGTACTCCCCAAGCAGAATTGTGCTCCAAATTGCCATTATGCATCCACACAATTAATCACTGTATTCCTAGCCGAATAGCTTCTCCACATGCAGAGTCTTTCGAATTCAAGGTAAAGATTACATTCCTTATCAGCTCTCTTCAAAGCTGATACTGAAGCGGGATATAAGGGAGACTAGAAAAGAGAAGTCACAAAACTTTCAAACGATTGATGACTCCCATCAACATCTCTACAACATGTCCAAAACTAAGCCTGTGACCTAAAATGTCGGCTCATAAAATTTAGGACAATAAATTTTCAAGCTCATGATTTACAATCATTATCCAGGGTATGATCCTTTGTGGTTGAAAAATATTATTGAAGAAACGGCAGATGCGTAAGAGGAAATCCTCGCGAACGAAGGCAGATCACTGCTACAGATAATATGTTCATACTAGGAAAACTCTGTATCTAAACAGAAAGACAAAAATGAAATGATCCTGTCCCCACACACGCACTGGACATTTACCTGGGCATTGAGTCCAGAAATCAAACGAGCAATCCAGTGATAGATATTCAACCCACAAATCTTAAGGCTAGGTGACCTGAGGAGATCAGCCCGAACCTCAAGGATCTAAATCAAAAATTAGCAAAACAATCTGAAAGTGAACTACATCCAGAGAGCGATGACCAGACCTAATATTCACCCGTTAGGAGGAAAATGAGAGTGGATGAGTACGTACGCTTCAAAGAAGTCGACAGCTTGAAAACGACAGAAAGAGTCACGCCAAATCCGATCACGAAAGGCCAATTGCGCTTGGCCTCCGCGGCCGCGACCTTAATCAGAGGCCTTCCAACAACAGCCGTCATGGTGCCTACCTTCTCCGACAGCAAATTACCTCAAACTGCAAAACATTCCAGACCCAATCCCTGCTTCAATTCAATGTCCCAAAATCACAACCAACGCAGCTCACAGTCCTAACCAATCGTCAACCACATTCTACTCCTCCGGAATCGAAAATCTAAAGTCCAAGTCCAATTCCAAAGCAGCGATCCATCGATCAGCACCTGAAAATTCCTCGAGCGCTCGGAGTGCAGACGAAACGAGGGAGTGGAAGCTATCGGGGTCACACGAACGACAGAGCGAGGCTCAGGTCTTAAGAATTGAGCTTGTGCCCACGTTGGCCGACGAACTTGGGTACCCTACCCACCACACCACATCCCTCACCTTCAACCTCGTAAGAATCATCACCACAGTTCCGAGTACCTACTTCCACGTGTTGTTTGAGTGGAGAAGAGCTCACCTTACTACACGCTTTACTCCCTCCTTATTATTGTGAATACTAATCAGGGTGTTTTTTGAGAAGATAATAACCGATATTGTTCTGAACCTAGGCCATATTGTAAAGTATGGCCTAGGATATATTATCAGAAATATAAGTCACTTTTTTTTGTATATTATGTTTTACTTATTGAAAATTATTTTTTTATGTAGTGGAATTCATAAAATTCGTTTTTATTCTACCAAGGTTAACCACTGGTTTAGTTCTGTTTCATCTTTTATGAGTTGATGAGATCTTACCATTTCTATCCAGTCGCCATATTAATAATGCTCGTCTATCACTCAACCACTTTTATCTAACTAGCATATGTATGATGTATTGAAAAACAAATCGTAAGTATAAATACCTCCTCTATTTATCGTGAGGGGTATTCAATAACTTCTATTTACACGTTTTAGCAACGTAGCATGTATGATGCTATGCTGAAAGTAGAAGATGATTTGAAGTTAATAAAACAACCTAAAATTTTTACAAAAGTATGTAAACGTTTGATTCGGTTAGGTTGAATTTATCATGATTAAATTCATGATTTGATACACACATTTAAAGAAATTGTACTAAGATTATATAACATTGAATCAAAATTTTGTATGAATGTTAACATTTTTATTTTATTCACATTGCACTTGTCTAATACGGTGTGACAATGATTTTTTTAAATGAAATTATTATATTCATGATCTACAAATTCAAATTTTTTTTATAAAGTGAGCTTATTTACAATAGAGATTAATAAAAAAAATGCAATACGTGAAAATTTATCTGGTTTTTCAATATACATTTGTAAATGTTCGCTTAAAATATTGACTAAATTTCAAACTTTACAAAGATTTAACGATGTAATAGAGGCTATAACAAATAAGTGGTTCAACTCCGTGATATTATATTTTACGGTACATAGAGAACTTATTAAAACCCTTGAAGTATGCGGTATTGGAATTATAATCAAGCCTATTACATAATAAAAGACCATCTTATTGCTACTAATTAGAACTAGTGAAGTTATAAGCATAAAATGTATTATAAGCCAAAAAAAGTTTTCAAACTTGACATAATTCTGTGTGTAATTGATTTTTTATTCCTTAATGTATATATCTTGAGCCGAGAATTGAAAACTAACATTACATGCTATCTATAAATATTGATATAATTTTCATGTAATAATTTGTTTACATTAAAAACTTCGTTTAAATATAAGGATTTATAGAAGCATATGATCAGTAGTAAAATATTACTTCTATCTTTTAAATAAACTGAATTATAATTAATATCGATTTTGATCGTTTTAAATTTAATTTAGTTTAATATTAATATTTTTGAATTTATTTATGTAAATGTTTCAAATTTCAAAAATAAGATACAAAGACCAATTAATCTAATCACATATTACGTGTCTTTCAAAAAACTTCATACGATATGTATTGTCAAGAAAATCAAATAAATGATCATGATGATATGTTTTGAATTTTATTATGCACTATGAAGACCTAAATTTGAGGATTGATTAACGTATCTAAAATTTGATCCTTATACCAAATTAATTGAATTCTTGGTTAACTTTGTAACCTGATTTAAAAAAAATTTCTGTATGAATCTTTTAAATTTTAAACTATTTATATATCATAAGTCAAAACAAGAAATCTGAAGATAATTTTAATGTAATAAATAGAAAAATTCATGACACAATTCGAGTTTATATGCTTATATAGGTGGAAAAGATTGATATTTTTATATTTTAGTTAAAATTAAAATATTTAATCTTATAAATATTTAAATTTAAAAATTATACTATCATAGATTATAGATTATGATTATCATATTTAGATTTTATTTTATTTTAAATCTAAAAAATAAAATCATGAGCTGATTTTTCATTTTTCCAAGGGTTTATTTTTTCCTCAACCCTGCACTATGGTCATGAGAGCTTTTGCAGCGATACTACAAGTTGGTCGAATTTTCTCACAACTTCCTGTCCATCTCATTCAAGAATATTACTGAAAATTTCATACTATAACTGGTATTGTATGATGAATTCAGATATTTATATCCATCATTAATATATTATGGAGAAAATAATTTGAGTTTTATTTTATTTGGATTTTATATTTTCCTTTTTATCTCATGTTGTATGTGGTTTATTCTTGTAAATATTCACTCTTTTATAACAACTTGTTTATCCGATAGTTACAATAAACATATTTGATATGTTTATTGTTTACCCTAAACCCTTCTTATGTTCAATAACTACATAGAGGAATTCTACTGGAGTAGATGTTAAGTGCAGCTGAATATGGCGTTTGATGGTACAAAATTCGTATATACGTACAAAATTCAATAAAACTAAAGAATAAATCAAAACCACACTATTTGCGGAACTTGTGTGGCCATAGAAAAGTTCCAGCTCGCGAGTTGAAAGCAATGGGCAGAATCTTTGATTCTAAGCAAAGGGTGAAAATGAGAGTAAAAGAAATGACTCATTGAAAAGAAATAATGTACTTTCATTCAAAAAATTTGATGGGCAGAAATAAATGACCACACGAAAGAACATTAAAGTTCTCAGATCACCACATTGGCTACGTAGTTAAGTGCCAGTCGCAGTGGCAGGGGGTACATGTGGCACCAGCAAATGATTGAAGCTCGTACTGGTAGGAACCCAAAGTCAAGCGCGGGCTCAACGTTGTCACGCTTGGCGCCTCGAAGCGCGGGCTACTCTGCCGGGACCGGTCAATCCGAAGGAGGAGGGAGGGTCTCGGCAGCCCGACCCGTCGTGGGAATCGCTCAATCCCAGAGTGAGGGAGGGAGCTCCGAGGAAGCTCTGGAGATGGAGGAATTGGAGGCAACGAGGTGCTGAAGATCGAGGATGCTGAAATCGTCCGAGGCCGATTGAGGTCAGCTCGGCCCATTTGATGTAGTTTGGGATTGCCTCCATCTGATGGTTCAATTAACATTTAATCTGGTCTTCGTTCGGAAGAGATCTGTACCAGTTTAGCTCTCTGGGGTCGGCATCTTTTGTGCTCATTTGGGTGACGGTGTTTCGTGTCTAATTAGGCGTAGGATGGCCAAGAAATGTTGACTTTCGGCACTGGAACGTGGGATGTGGACTTTTCGGACTAATCGCTCAGGGATTGTGAGATTTCAGCACCTCGGAAAATGAAATCTGCGTCAGTTTTGGATTAAAGCGCTGGCCTGTGGAACTTTTGAATTTTGGCAATTGTATGATTCTTTTAGATGGTTTCAGTCGGTCTTGGTTGAGGCTAAGGAACAGCTGGAAAATTGGGAGCTGCGACAGTGTGGAAACATGAATCACAGAGTCGAGGAAGCGCATCCAATTCAGCCTCTGGTCTTTTCACAGTATGTTCCGTATATATTTGGCAAAAGTTTAAGGCTCTTGACTTCCTCGGTGCGATGCATGCCTTGATTACTCTTGATTCCTCTAGAAGATTGTGCTACAAGCATCACAGTAATGTCGTAGATTGACAACAACGTGTGCAACACATTTTGCTCCTTTCGGCCGTATGTGCAAATTGGATGTGCAAGCACGTAGTGTAGAACAGAGTTGCTTGATGGACCCCTCTCGGAATGATACGTTCACCAGAAGAAGTCAGAAAGAGACCTCATTACGCTCTGGGAAGAGCAGTCTTTTATGATGTTGGGAAGGATCGAGACGAAGTTGTTGGATTCAAGAGCATTGTACATCACGTTGTTGAGAACCCGGCATATTCGTGGTCAGCATCCTCGTCAATGTAGGGTTCCTCCGGAGTACAATGGTGCGAATTCGCGATTATGATGGACATAATTCTTGAAGCACAGACAATTTCATGTATCGATGTAGGACGCAGAGGAAAGCTTCAGTATTAGTGGTTTATGGTCTTCACTTTCTTTGAGATTTTAAAGCTGCAGCAGTGCTCACATTCAGGATCATCACGGCGCATGGCTTGAACGAAGTGGTGGAAGTAGTGAATTGTTGTAATCAGCAGACAAAAAGATGGCAGGGTCAGGAGCCGGAGGGATGATTGCCGGACCTGGCTCCAAGGATAATGGAGGGTCTGCACATTGCAGTGCCCATGGCCTCTTGGCGTATGGCGCCGGTAGCTGCGTAGTAGTCGTAGATGTTCGTTCGATGCAGCTTGTGGTAGTCTTGCCAATGCCTTCAGCTCGAACCAGTCCTATGCTACCAGCTCCTTTCGTTACAGCCCTGCAGTGGATTCCAGAATGCATGTCTCGGGACCTGACACAGGAAGCATCGACGTCTCATTTACGTTTAGCAGTCGGAGACAGGCAAGGCAGAGTGGCCATATGGGATACAGCTATGAAAGATATCGTAATTTGGTTGAATCTCGAATCCGAGAAGGGGAGATTAGGAATACAAGACTTATGCTGGGTGTTTGGACAACCTTGGCTGTTGGCGGTGATCCATGGGCCTTCTGTCCTCGTAATCTGGGACCCCCAGCTGGCACGGCCCATTTGGAAGTACGATGCAGGAACAGAGTATTTGGGAAGCATCAGATGTGATCCTTTTGATGCACGGCAAGTGTGTGTGGTGGGACTGAAAGGTCTTATTCTCTCATTATTGATACAGGGGGTATCAGACAATGATGTATCTTCAAAGCAGCACAGTGTTGTGGTCTCTGAAGAACGGAATAGTGGCAATTTGGGAGGCTCCAGTTCTGGTTCTACTTCTGCTGGCGCACCTGCACTCGCAGCAGTACCGGGAGCTATTGCCAAGGCCATGTTTTCTCCAAGGACTCGGGGGTTGTTGTACTTGGTCTTTGCAAGGGAGATTATAGTGTTTGATTTGAACTTTGGAATGACATTGGGGACAACTCCAATGGGCAGGGGAGTTGGCAAGATATTAGATGTGCTGGCAGTGGCAGACCACGACATTCTGTATTGTGCACATCAAGATGGGAAGATTAGTGGTTGGATCAAGCCAGAGTATGTTACTTGAACCTTCTTAATAACTTATTCATCTTCTTACGTTGGTCCTGAATAGAATATAGTAAGAACTTCATCATTTCTTGCTCGATATAGAAATGCTTAAACTGTGGCTTTGCTGCTATCCATGTTAATCTGCAATTTCAAAATTGATTTTGGAAGCTTTAGCGAATTAGTTGTATTTTGTGGCCGCCCTGGTGTTTACCTCCTACGAAAGGCTGTCATTTGTGAGCATGAAACATGTAGGTAGTATTCGAAATGTGCTCAGTAGCTGACTCTTTCCTGTCATGTCATGGGTAGGAATAGGCAGGCGTTTTCTATGTCCTTCACAGAAACTTTGATACCTCCTATGGGTTCGCCAGTGCCTGCCCCTACCGTGCTAGCAGTCATTCACTGCCCACTTCAGGTGCAGGTGCAAAACATTGAGATAGAAGAAGAATCTACGCCCAGACTACAGCTCGACTCGCTCCCTTTACCAGGAAGTGCTCCATCACCTACTGGGTTCATTGAGAATCTCAAAGATGACCTAGGAGGCAGTCAACTGGCGTCAAGTGTAGGCAGTTTGGTGGAAGCTACCTTTGTCTCTATAACGGATGACGGAAGGCTTTGGCAGTGGGTTGTGGCTTCAACTTTGAAGCCGGGTCTTGACTTCAGCGGTGACTCTCCACCTGCACCTAAATTCAAGGTATGGCTTCTCTTCTCTGTTAAGAGGTTTGAACTCTCAGTGTGACTGAACGCTGTCTAACTAATGCTCTTTCTAAAATCAGATGCAGCATACCTTGTAACACATATGGTTTGTGATAGTGAGTAGAGTCACAAATATTGGTGGACCCTGGGTAAATTGTTTTCTGAAAGGTCACAAATGCGTTATAGTTGATGCAATAATGACAGCACTAATGGATACTGGCGATTCGTGAGCAGCTCGAGCTCACCATGCAGCTTCAACTTCTACCATCTGCGATAACGACACTTGCAGTTCCAGTGCCATCACTTCTAGGCACAGTGACTGGTGGGTTGCTGTTTGGGTTGTGTGGATGCTACCTTTTAAATGTTCTGCTACGTCTCTTCATCACTGTTTGTACTGCTGCTCATCGACTAAGAATAGGACTTGTCAGTTGATGGTGCTATTGGCAGCCGCTGAAGCTCCATAGTTCGTCTTTCATGCAGGTGGGAGCGGTGCTGGGGCAGTTGCAGTTCCCATGGTGGCCCTAGCTACCCAGGGGGGAACACTGGAGCTTGTGGACGCTGCAGCCAATGCTGTCACCTCTTCTTTCGCCGTTCACAACAGTTCCGTAGTGCGAGGTGTACGCTGGTTAGGAAATACGCGTCTCGTCTCCTTCTCTCACACAGAGGTTTGTAGAATATACTCCACTGTGTTGTGTGTGGAACAATGTTGCCAAACTCCGTCCAAGTCGAGTTGTCTGTCAATACCTTCATTTACAGTACCCCATTGTTTGGCTTGATAACGTTCCGGTGTATTGTTTGGGTTCCTGATTATAAATATGAGGTGTCAGCACTTAGTATCGGTAGAAGATCAATACCTCATTTCGAAAGTCCTAGAATCCTCCTCCACAGCATTGACAGTTACAACGACCTCTACATCTTACACGGTACCATTTGGACATGTATTAGACTTAAAATAAAGCCTGAAACGTTCTTCACTTCTCTCGTTTTTGTCCGACTGGTGCGCAGGTGAAAGGTAAGGGAGGCGGTTTTGTCAACAAGCTCGTAGTGACCTGTGTGAGGAGCGGTCAGAGTAAAGCATTCCGTGAGTTGCAGAAGCCAGAACGAGCTCCAATGAGAGCGTTGAGGACCTCTCCATCTGGAAGGTACTAGTTGAAAAAGTACTACCGAAATAACAATTTTAGGATCCCTGTGTAATCTAGTCCGAAGATTGTACCCGTTGCTATTTCAAGTCACCTCCAACTGAGCACACAGTCTAATGATCTTGTGTATTGCACCTGTCAGTTTATCTGATGATTATCTTCTTTGGTAGTTGACAATGAAATGGGATTGCAGATATCTTATTGTTCTGTTTCGAGAGGCTCCCGCTGAAGTCTGGCTCATGTCGAAGGTTCCTTCAATGGTACAGTACATGTTTTACGTGCTTAGTGATTTGTCAAACATACTAATCGTGAACTTGGTAGAGCGCAACTCTCGTGAGAGAAACATGTCAGAGATGAGTTCGATTTGAGGCACCCAGACTTCGTATTGTCTACCTTAGGGGCTAGGATAAGAAATGTGTTGTAAAGTGATGTCAACTCCACACGGACTTGTCTAGTAAGAAATTGCTTTCATATGTCTAGTCTGCATGTGTTTTTGTTTCCCTCTTGGCTGCCATGTCAACCTTCTCCTGCCTTTGCATCACGGGTATTTGCTAAAGTATGTCCGTGAGCACAAGGCAAGTTTTACTGACATTGATTTTCATTAGTCCTTATACCATCCCAGATTCGTATTATCTCGCAAGGGGTAATAATATTACTTCAATGTGTTCATACATGTCTTTCTTTGCACACGCATCAACAAACATTGCAGAAAGTAGAGGTTTGGTGTTTTCAACCGTGTTACCGTTGAAAACACATATCCTTATAAGTATATCTCCTCTGTATTTCATAGCATCAGCTTCGTGCTTACTGTTACAACATCTGTTGGATGTGAAGTTGCGGTCTCTAGCCTTGCCATTTACTGTCATGGAATGGGCACTGCCACCAGCTCCTCGATCTTCAGCAGCCCACAAAGTTTCGGTGTCGGCTAGGAAGCCATCTCTTTTTTACAGCACCCCTCCAACTATTGCTTCCACAGCAGCATCAATGAATGCCGTACCTGCAGGTGCCCAGCCGACAGGGACAGGTATAAAAAAATATGTTTTAGAAGATATTTTAGTCTGTCGTACTCTTCGAAGTTGTCAACAATTGACTCAATTATTGATTGATTAATTGCTTGAAGTAGCTTACACGTTGCCACAGAGACCATTACTTATTCATACCTCGACAATCCGAGTGGAATAAATTGAAATTGGTTTCTTTTGTTGTCCTTTCCGATACCTGATTAGGTCCTACAGAAAGGTCGGCAGGCCCTGCAGAATCAGAATCAGGAGAAAGCTTCGCGTTTGCCCTTGTGAATGGATCACTGGGAGTATTTGAGTTAAGGGGAAAAAGGGTTCGAGATTTCAGGTGTGTTCCTTTGGTTTTATCTGTTTCATGGTATTTTAATTCTCATGAACAGGTTAGCTAGTTCGTATTACTACTGCTGTCAAATGGACCTGATATAATTGATATGGTTGAGAATCGGTTCTTGCATGTAGAATTCATCGAAGTTTCGATGATCTGGAATCTGTCTATGAAGGTCATCCTAGTATTTCTTAGTCTGCGGTCCTTGGAGTTGATTTTTTTCGTAGCAAAAAAAATCAAGTCCAAGTTTCTGTTGATGAATGGTACTAACTGGTGAATATGTGCATGTTTGTTTTGAAGGCCAAAGTGGCCTGCCGCGTCCTTTGTTTCGTCTGATGTCTTGGTAACAGCTATGGCGTATCGCATGCCCCATGTGGTAAATACTCGCTCCGGTCATTTGAGATTGTGGATGCTGCCTCCTCAACAAACCCAAGATATTTGCCGGATACTTATTAGCGCATCGAATATCCTGTGTTCTGCTTGACGAGGACTTCTACTGTCGTTTCCGTTTCGTGCTTTGGAGTTATTTAGCCGAATCTGAAGAATCTCATCACATTTGACGCCATCTAATTTGACAGATTGTCCCTGTATGCTGCCTTACGAGTTCCTGCGCTGATATCAATTCGTAGGTAATGGGGGACCGGATGGGAAATATTCGTTGGTGGGACGTTACCTCTGGCCTCTCATCTCTTTTCAACACACATCGAGGGGGAGTACGGCGGATAAAGTTTGCACCAGTGACACTTGGAGATCCAAGTAGAGGTCGAATCGCTGTGCTATTTAATGATCATACGTTTGCGGTGTATGACCTTGTAAGTATATCGTCTCGATCCATATAACACCATTATGCTTCATGAATTTTTAACATCACGGTGACCGCAGGTCTCATATCTTTTCTATGGGACCTGATTTGATATTTCACCTAAATGCGATTCGAGTTCTCAATATAAAACTCACCTGCCATGTCCATGAGTTTAATCTAAGCGTTATTTTGAACGAAGAAGTCAAGATTGTTACGTCAAGCACATGCGTCCGACAGACTGCTTCGTCATATGGCAGCTCAAGAGTGATTTTGGACGTCACCATCCATATGACAGCTTTTTTTATTGTTAGCGAGTCATTCTGAAGACTTGTGCGATGACTAGTCAGTTTAAGAAGGCTACAACCGAAACAGTATAAACTGAGCTCAAGCCTATGTTTTATAAACTGGTCTAACATATTCGGAAACTCAGGGAAAGATTGTTTAGCACATTATGGAAGATTGTAGATAACACGAACTAATATCACAGTAGTAAACCGAAATTGTAGCAGCTGTTTGCTAGAATAGAGAAGGATTTCACTCACAGATCCTGAACGAAACTTTTATGCTGTGTTAAATGCTTCTTCGCCAAATTGTAGGACACCCAAGACCCGTTGGCAAATGCTCTAGTGCACCCGCAACTTGGAGGAATTTTGGTTTTGGAGCTCGATTGGTTTCCTTTGCGGGCCGATAAGCACGAACCCTTACTCTTGTGCATCGCTGGAGCTGATGGCAGTTTCCGCCTTCTCGAAATCTACAGGTGTGACATTCCTACTCTAATTTTATGCAGAGGTCTTCTGATTGTGGTTGAACACACAATTACAAGTCTCTCCTTGCAGTATTCAGCTTTGTTATTGAAGACTATAGGCTGACATTTAGACCTCCTGTACCTCCCTTCGTGTGTTGAAGCATTCTGGAAAAAGAATTACATCTGTAAAGAAGGATGTCTTGGATAATTAGTCGATATGTAACCTGCAGTACAGCGAAACCTGCTCAAGGCGCAATCGTCAGGCCTTCTGTCTGGCAACGTTGCCGGCCTATGCCCCTGTCCTCTCCGGCTCTTCTTCCACCTCCACACGCTATGGTGAATTGCGAAGCTGATTTCTCGCCCAAAGATAGTTTTGAGTTTTGATTTGTCTTTTCTCACATCCTCGTAATGACGGCCTCTATTATTGTTGATGCCTCTTGTCATCGGCTTTCATACTAGCCTATGAAATCTCCAGGCTTTTTATTTGTCTGTCATGTGATGTGGTTAATATTTCTGTGTTGTAATTTTGTTATAGGCCTTCCGCATGCTTCTTCAGTTAGGTATCAAATCATCATGGTTCTATGTGACACCATCTACCGGTGTCGAGATTCATCTTGGTACTAGGGGCGGTGACCTTCGACATTTTCTTCTGGAATCGTCATTGCCAGACATCGGCGAGACGGTCGCTGCGGAGGTATTGCTGAAGTCTCTGGAGACATATCGCAGAGCTGGTATGCACTTACTTTATTCTTTCCTCCTAACTTCGGTTTTTTTTTTACATAACAAAAGTAATCGCCCTTCATCTTGAGGTTGTTGTGCTATGAAAGCTGGGTTGAAGGAAACATAGCGGTCTGCTTTTGGGACCTCAAATTCATGTAATCTATTGTTCACTTTGCAGGTCGGTTGCTGGACAGGGAAAGAGTGGCAGCGTATGAAGCTATATCGAGTCAAGGGGTTGCTGCCCGAGCTGCATTCACGGCCGCTCACTTTGGAGAGTATGCAGAAGCAGTATTCTGGCTTCAGTTACCTCGAGCGCTGGCTTTGTTGAGTATCGGTTCTGCGGGAAAGAATGCATTCTGGAAATCTGCTAATGCTCTTCCAGTAAGGCAGCAAGTGCAGGTTGCTCCAAGCGAGGAGGAGGAGGATGAAGACTCTTTGCAATCTATTTTGAAGCCCGAAGTATCAAGAGATTCAGCTAGTAACGAACAAAATCAATCCTCACCAGAACCTTCTCTGTCTATGATTAAACTGGTATGGCTCGTTCTCCGGTACAATTTCGTGCGTTGCTTTGCGTGTATTCTTGTGCCAAAATAGCTCTCAACTATTGGGCTGATGACCCTGCAGTAGGGACTGCACGCAGCTTTCGAAGGCTAGAACCAGCGAGGGCTTGTGTAGTTTAGTCTGTAAATGCATATTGCGCCAAGTTATAGAGCTACGTATGAGATCAGGTTTTCAGCACATTTTTTCTACGTTGGGTCGATTATGACGCATTGTCGACAACGGACATGTGCCCCACCGCCTCTAGAGAAGCATTGAAGGTTACTGGAGGGAGTGATTATTGTCATCAATAGGTTCGCCTTTCTGATAGTTTTTTTCTCTTTTTCTTTTTTTTTTGGCAAATCGGCAGCCCTTCAGGTCCGTGGATGTCGTTCCCTGTGAGCAAAGTGCTGTTACCGCCGCTGCTCAGGAGCGCATCACTTGGCATGAAAAGCTTACAGGGCCAATAGCCACTCAGAAGAGAGTGCATGAGTGAGTAACAAAGATGTTGGACCTTTAATTAAGTGCCATGTATAGCATCTGAACAGTCACATCGTACTGTTCTGACAGTCCTGTCTTGTTGCCGTTTTATCCATGAGGTTGGTTAACTGCGGCTGTGAAGTTTTCATCACCTTTCCGTTCATAGCGATCCATGTTGCGTTGAAGCTCTTCAACCATAGCATTTTGACCTTTTTCTTACCAGGGGAGTCTTATGAATATGTCAGTGCTGTGAGTATTTTCTGAGATCTAATCATCTCATCAACTTCCGCAGATATGTTTCTGTCGGTGATTTTGAATCAGCCGTCACCTTGCTGTTATCGACACCTCTAGGGGATGAGAACTTCTATCTCGATGCTCTTCGGGCTGTATCCCTTGCTTCTGCAGTTTCCCCTGCACTACACGAACTTGCTGTGAAGGTACACGATCCTACGTTCTGGCTCGTATCTCAATACATGTGCTCGCATGTAAATATACTGTTCGAAACTCAGTCCATTAATTTGAGGTTGCCAGAACGTTAACATAACAAGCAAGTCTACGGTCCATTCCGCCATGAAGTTGGTTTTGATAAGTCTCCTTGTCCGGTGTTGATCGAAAGTTATGCATTCCAATATGGATCACAAGGTTGCGACTGGTCCTTCTATCCGTCTCTTCCCGTTTCTTATTCCGTGCACATGATAGAGTTTTTAAAGTGGAAGTGCAGCTAATCGGGAAATCTCTATGTTCAGCACATTTTTGGGCACCGAAGACAGAAAGCCATATTTACAGTGATAGGTTTCGTGAAAGCTGGTTGATAGTTTCATACCGTAACAGCTGCGAGTTCGTGGAAGGATCACTGATGTACAAGATGCATATTAAATGTCAACTAACTTTCATAAGCTTACAGGTCGTTGCAGCGAACATGGTGGGCAGGGATGATTCATTGGCCGGGACACATCTGCTGTGTGCCGTCGGACGATACCAGGAGGCCTGCTCACAGGTTGGCTCCCCACGGGTCCACGGGTCCACGGGTCAATAGACATATACACATGTAGCTGTAGATTGCAGTCAACGTCGTCTCAGTAAGAGGAACTTTTTTCCAGTGTAAGGTGGTTCTAAGATAAGTCACGTATCAATCAATCAATAGGCCCAAATTGTGCGATGACAGCTGCCTGCCGAGAGTTGATTCTAAGATAAGAAGGTTTGTCCTGTTGGCTTGTATGGATCAGCTTCAAGATGCGGGTCGCTGGGTAGATGCGAGCACCCTCGCCGCTGCTCACCTCAAAGGGACCGATCATGCTCGGTGAGTCTCTTTGCTTTTGCTCTTTGCGTACATTGATTTGCTGCGGCCTTGACTCCAAGAACTAAGGGGAGCTGCTTCTGGGACTGCTGGAGGAAACTATGGTTGGTATGCTTCGATGCATTATTATTAACGTACAGGCAATATCAAATCGCGCAGGGTTCTGGAAAGATGGGCCGAGCACGTGCTCGCTGATGAGCATAATTTATGGAGGTAAGTTTACTATCAGTCGCTTTGATCACTGCTCTGTTCTACGATGCTCGTATCCGGATGTACTCTCTTCTGGCGAGTGAGTCAGTCGGATGTTCGTGAGGAAAGCATTAGGTTAGTGTTGACGTGTTGTCGAGGTTCAGGTTGATACTGTGGAAGGTACTACTGGGTGCCTCTAATGCAGTGCTGTACTTAGCTTACAAATCTGTAAGCCAAGTCGAAAAAAATGAAACGAGTGTAAACAGCGATGCTTTTGAAACATAATACGTAGAAGAGAAGATAGATGAGTAACTTTTTTGATAGAATGTGGTAAAGCCTTTTTCCGATTCCAATAAATTAGTAGCAAAAGATGGAGAGAGTGCTAGAAGCCAACGATCCTGTTTATAAGTTCCATTAGACCATTGCGTCTAATGGACGTCATATGTTGAACCGTCATATGTTTATAGAATTTCGTTGGTAGTTCAGAATGCAGAATAATCAAATCTTTTTTTCTGAAGTAGGAAAGAAAACTGAAAGCGCTATCCAACTTCCGTTCAAAATTCGAGCCATTTGAAGTCTGAAAATTACGTGGCATTTCTACATTTTCCAGGGCCATGATCCTCTATGTTGCTGCCGGTGCACTGTCGGAGGCGCTGGCTGCTCTGCGAAACGCTCAGCTTCCAGACTCGTCGGCCTTGTTTCTGCTGGCCTGCCACGAAGCCAAGAAATATGCGATGGCAGACCGCCTCAAGGCCCAAATGGAACCACAGGAAACGCCGGAGCAGATGGACGCAGCGCATTCCAATGTGCTGGACCTTCCCGGAGATCTGAACAAGCATACGGACGGCGTGGTGGCTGTGTGTGAGTACTTCGGGCAATATCAGCGAATGCTAGCTCACACAGTGACCAGTATATCACCCGTCATCGATTAAGTTAGTGCTCTGCGGGTAATGTCTTGAGATCAGTCACACTTCCACGTTAGAGTGTCGTCACCGAGTGGCGGGGCGGGCCAAGCTTGATGAAGCGCAGTCCATTTTGCTGTGCAACGGTTTCGTAGACGAGGGAGAATTCACTCCCAGGGGTAGAGAGTCGCGCACAAGGCGCGTTGAAAGGTAGAAATCCATTTGTTTCTCTATATGCATGATGAAGATGAAGATGACGGTATGCGCTGTATGCTAGAGTAGATGACAAATATTGGGACAAAATGTCGTTTTAATGTACAGGTTTGTATTCTGTTGGTCTGTGACTCCCATAGCCAAGGTGCCAGCAGGCACAGTCAGTCACAAAAGTGCTGTCGGCGTGGGGCTCCCATTGGAGCTGAAATGTTGTTCTCACGAGCAGTCAATCATTCTTTGAATAAGCCTGGCCTGCTCCTTTTTCTTCACCCCATCCTTGTCCCTGGTCGCCACCGTCTTTGTATGTGGCATGCAAACCCTCGTCATGCCAAGGAAATGAGATGAGATGAGATGAGATGAAAGGAGATGTTTTTCCTTGGGAAAGTAGTCACGGGCCGTTGCAAGCCAGTCCTCGTGCTCTTGGACGTGCTTCCTCCGAAAGCCAATGGACAGACAGACATGGAATGCCATCTCAAAAGCATGATTGCACTCGCTGTTGTAGCGGATTTCTGCATCGCCAAATGCATGTTGCCTCAAAACGCAAGCCTCGTTGCTTCTGTCGTTCTCTCTCGGTCGCTGGCCCTCTCATCAGTCCTGGCCAGCCTCGGGTCAGGCCACTCAGGCACAGTTGGTACCTGGTTCCGTACGGATACGAGACCCTAGACATTCAAAGAAGCTGGTGTCGAGCCGTAGACAGACAGGCAGGCTTTCAGGACCTTCGAAGCGCCCCGCCTCATCTCATTGCCGATAAGGTCGATGGAATTCCCACTTGCGCATTTTTAATTTCCATCGTCATGTCTTTCTCCTTGATGCATTTCGGTTGATGAGGTAGCCGCTACAAGGCTCAGGCGAGGTCAACTCGTGAGTCAAACACTCTACCCTCTCCACGTCCCTCCCTCTTGGACACATGGTCCGTGCCAACAGGGACTAGAGGCAGAAAGGATTCAAGGACGCGGGTAGAGATCTCATTCCCTCGCTCCCGGAGCCTCTTTAACATTTACGCGACCTTCTTCATGGGCCGTCGGTCGTTCGACCAGTGGGCCTACTTTCTCAGAATGTCGTGTGCGCTCGAATACAAACGCTAGCCTCCATGCATCCGGATCCCACCCAGATTACGATCGGTCGATAGATACCCAATTGCGCCATTCTCTGTCCGTAGGTCCAAATCTATCCAACTGTAAGCTACGAGGAAAGCGTCGCTGAAGTGACGGTCGGTGGTCCAGCTCTCCCTCTTTCTCGTGTGCTCCCTCGTCCCCCATGCCGCAACCGAAACTTTCTTACAGTCAAAAGAATTAAGCGGTGTCTTCGGGAGGATTTTAATCCCGGCATTACCTGAAAGCTACAACCATTTCCCGTTCTGCCCTTTGGCTGGAGCGGGTAAAGATGGGGCGAGCATCAGAGATGGTGGACCAGCTCCTAGGCAGTAAATCGGGAGCTAAAATGGACCGGGAAATGACGAGGCTTGTCGTTGGGCCGAAACAACCACAAACCACGAGAGATCCGAGGCCCGAAAAGAGCGTGTACTGCTGCTCGTCCCGAGAACGGGCACGATGAGAGTGAAATGGAGTGTGGAGGGAGAGAGGGAGGGAGGGGGGTAGGGATCTCTCGAAAGCATGCAAGTACGCCCAAATTCTGACTCCCTCGAGAGAAATGGCAACTGCCCCAGACAAACCAAAAAAAAGGTCCGGCCGGAGCTCTCGAGATTTGGACTCGAGGAATCCATACCGAGAATGGCCATCCAGCAGTTCTACGTCAGACGCACAACTATGACCCCATCCATAGAGTCCCATCTCTTCCTATGTCGCACACTCGCGTTTCATCCCTCTATTGGGATGAAGAAAAAATCCGCTTCCCCAGCGTTCTCCCCATTACTCATCTCATTCACCGTGAGGCCCACGAGGTCGAGGTTCGAGGTTCCGAGTGAGACAAGCAGATGCGTAAACCAATTAGCTGGTCTTTTACTGCGCGACGTTCTCTAGGAAGGGAGGGCGATCAAGGAGAGAGAGAGAGAGAGAGAGAGAGAGGAGAGCGAGGTCCGAGGATTTCATTGATGGTTATGCCTACGGCCGACTCTGGCTGTCTGTATGTCTGTCTGTAGGGGGGCCATGGCACTCCGTGTCGACAGAGCGTGCCGTGGGTCGGTAGAGAAGAATCAATGGCGTCGCACTCCCGATCACGTCATTCGTTCCAGCTTTCACTCTCTCGCTGTCAAATTCCAGAAGCGGAATGAACTCGAGCGCTGGTTCCAACTTCGCACATCGAACGAAGGACGATGCGGTGATTGATTGGTGAGCTCGACATGTTGTTACATTCTGTTAGCAAGTGGCTGCTTCGACATAAACTCTCGACGTCAATGGAATCCCAAAGACGGCCCCGTGGACGATGCACACGTGTGAGTGGAAATGATACTAGAGAAAGTGAACGCACCTGGAGGCATGGAATCACGGATGGAGCCAGCCAGCCAGCGTGTCATCGAAACCACAGCCCAGTGAAGAAGAAACGAAACCAACCTCGTCTGAAACGGCCACCACCACTACACCACCGTCGCTACCAAAGCCCATGGCGAACTCGACCTCGTCCAACCAAACTAGTAGAATGTCATGTCAAAACTCTCGTTCCGGACAAGAGCTTTTTTATCTACACATATCGACGACCTGACAACATTTGGCCATTTGGCCCTTTCTGCAGCCACAACGAAGAGAGACGGATAGAGGAGAAAACCGGGGTATTAACCTATAAATTTAACATGCAAGGAGTCCGGCTAGACTGGAGATGAGATGGTTTGGGACAGGTGTCCTTGTTCATATTCGATCGTTACGACTCATCCTTCTATTCTTTTGCAGAAAGAGAAGATGAAAAAAGGCTTACTTGTTACGAACTTCTTCCAGATTGCACCGTTTTGAAAGTAAAGACGATATGCAAACTTGATAAAAATGGGGTCAACCATGGAATATGGAATCATTATCTTTTTATGCTCAGTATTCAGCGAAGGAAAAATCAGAGACTTATGGATAGATTACTGTCCATTAGCTGGCTGCGGAACGTTACTTCGATAGGCCTCACGTGGACCAATTGAAGATATGGCTATGAGCTTCTCTGATAAATAAAGTTATTTCTACGAGTGCTCGTTATTTATGTACATCTTCTAGCTCGAGAAAAATTTTGAGGGGAATGGGCTGCATTATCGTGGTGATTGTTTTTCTCTCTTTTCATGAACGTGAATGCGATATCACTTTATTTTCTCGTTTGTTTAACTTGATGTACAATAGAGATGTGGGTAACGTGTAATCACATTCACCTAGAAATGTACATTTAGATTTGCGTAAAGTCGAGGCAGTGCCAACTGCTTCACTGTGGATGCTCTATTCAAATGCGACGGCATTATGCAGCGGCATATAACCGTCAATTTTTCAATGCCGAAGTTGAATGATGCTCTCGCTCACCTCGTCATGCAGACTTGAGTATTTCTGATGCACCCATCCCATCCCATCCCATCCTATCATGTGCTCGATAGTTGCATCCGGTACAGTACATGTCTTGAAGACGATTTTGAATTCCAAGGCTCAATACGGTTTTCTGAGGCCGAATTATTCCATCCCTGGGAAGACAATGACATGATTCCCACGTTGAGTTTTTGATATTTATTTTTTTGTCTTTTGATTGACCGACCAAAATCATAAGAATAGTGAAAGCGTCTTCTTCAGGTGGAAAATGGAGAAGCTTCACCAGTTCATGTCAGCTCATGAACCTTTGGAGAGGAAACGCAATCATTCGGACAAAAGTTTTATTCCAAGCATGTAGTACAGAGTTCCTTGAAACCAAACGACACGAGTTTCTTTCTAGAGGAGCATAATTAACAAGTCAATCTCGTTCAAATGATCCACAATGAGGACCACAAAGGGCCAGCAAATAGATCTTACACAAAGCTCGACCGAGGTCCCAAAAGTAGTCCAAGTTTTACCAGAGGAAGCAGAATAAGTTAAGGTTCTGAATAGTCAGCTAACCCCTGGCTCCATTGACAAACCGACTTACCAGCATCCTTGTTCTCGGAATGATGCTGGTGATTATTATTGGGAAGGATTCTTCTTATTTCATCCTGGATTGCCGCTACATCTCGCAAGATTTTAGGGAGTCATACACAATGAATAGGAATAAATAACAGCCCCCCAAATAACGGACTATGATGTAATATATGCAACATTTACAATTTAAGAATCACAAGCAGTAATGCTCATGCTCCAAAATTGAATAGCACACTCGCAAGAGGCCTGCGCCACGGCAAGATTGCGCCAACATTCTCATTCTCGCAGAGAAATGATGAAAAGAAACCGAAAAGATATAATTTTTTTACCCTCATATTCATCTCGTTTGAAAGATCGGTCAATTGACACGAAACATCAATATCATTATTAATATCGTACAAACAACTGACACAACGACTCACACTAATAAAAGTGAAGTTAGCTATCACATCCTGCCCAAAAAGACGAAAACGAGATTCACTCGGGAACCAAAAGAAAGCTCGAAAGCACGTCTCTCGACCGAAGTGTTTTGAAAGAGCAATCCAAAATGCTGTCTCAAAACTGGAGAATCGAACGCCGAGAAGTTTGGGGGATTTTGCTCGACCGTCTTACCGACTGGTTTCGTTTCAGCGAACCAAGAATCAGACGCAGATTCAAGAAGAAAGAAAGGAGCGGGGTGGACACGCAGACTTTTTCATTCTTCTCACGCCGCGGGAACGAAATGATGATCATCGACGCACTCCGGCAGACGAGGATGCTGCGAGCGCGCCCATCATTGGGCACCAAGAATGAGCCGACGTACGTTACATTTTAAAGCCAATTCCCGACGCCGAAATCAAATTGAAGCTGTCCGCGCGATTTATGCTTCCTGGATTTGAATCTAGTTCCGGTTTAAATTTCCGCACCGGCTTTCGGGCGCTCCTCGTCCCATCCCAGTAATTGCTTAGGCATGATCATCTGAATGATGACCATATCTCGCATTCGATCTATGTCCTTCACTAACACCTAGAGGCGTCGTCTAGATTATTCCCCGCAATGTGCCCCTCAAAGCGCTCGGACAGTTATCATTTCAGAATGATTTTCTGAATTCCACCTTTTTGCTCGAAGTCGTGCTCGCAATGGGCCATATGTTAGAACATCGAGACGAGATTTAAAGAAAAGAAAATTAAAGAATAAAAAATAAAAAGATAATAAATAAGGGTTGTGTTGGGATAGTAAATATTTCGAATTTGAACGAATTAAATTAATTATTGATTTCTTCTTTTTATATCGAGCGGCAAACGAGATGTTTGGTTTCTTGGAAACAAAGTAGTCTGCAGGTTCCAAAAGCGAAACGATGTGGTCTCCTCGGGGTTAGCATAGAGAGAAATATTATTTCATTAAGTATAGAAGGCATTATTTGCGATACGGACGCAAACGAAGTGGAGGTGGAGGAGGGGGTGATGGTGCTGGTGGCCTTGTTGGGCTGTGACTGGCTCCGTCGCGTTCCTAGTTCTTGAGGTTTGGATTCACCGAACCAGTCAACCATGTTACCGTATACAGAGCCGCTGATGTCAAGTCTTCGCATGATGGTTGCGAAGATGGTATGCGTATGGCTCCGATCACCGTAATGCCGATTCTAAAATACGATGAAACTCATTCACAGTACGGAGTACGACGGAGGCACATTTCCAGTTTTCCACGGAATCAAAAGCCATAGGTACGTACGGTCCCAAGAATCACCTGATCTGTACTCCACGAAGGGCAGTAAAACCGTAAAAGTGCATCACTGTAACCCGGTAGCTCCCAGCGACGCGACGGGGTATCGGATAATGCGGTACTCGAAGGACTACTGTAACTCCTGCGAGGTAAGTCGTCCCCCAACTGTGTGGAGCGAAACGACGAGCGGGCGACTGTGCGCGGCCCCGGTCACTTTCTCTCTTCGCCCGTAGAATCTGCCACACCGAACCCGCGGTACTGTACCCTAGTCTGGTAAAGGGAGCGGAAGGGATTGACCGAAGTTACTGAACTATCTATACAGTACATACATGGAATACCTACTTGGCATATAGTGTACGGTCTCCGTGCCTGGATGGAGCCATACTCAAAGAGCGATGAGACCATGATGCGACGACGGGGACGGAGAGGGACGTGTGGAGACAAGCGATCTGATAAAGGATCGTTCAGTAGCAGTACCTGTACCTGCAGAGAGCGGGACCAGGAACTGCGAAGGGATTGGGACGGGGCTCCGTTCCAGTGCGATGAACTATTCAAGGCAGTAATTGGGTTTGTTGTTGCTGCTTGCTTTCTCCACATTCGGGGTCGTGGTCCTCCTCGGTGCCCGATCACTTCGATGTTCGTCTCGTCGGGTCGGCCGCTTTCTCTGCTCCGGGGAAGGGGAACTTGAGCCCTGAAGGGACTTATGATTATTGTACCAATTAGTCCTTTCGTTAGATTTATGTGACACAGGTCCACGATCAGCAATTGCTCTTGCGGAATGCCACCCTGTCCTTGATCCTCTACTTCTCCTTGACTCATGGAGGGATCCTTGGCCCGATCCTATCATGAGAACTTATTGATGTTTGGAAAGTTGAGCGAGAACCTCTTGTCATAGTTTCATGAACTTCATTTTCCTCCGTCTGACTCAACTTAATCGTCAGCAATTGACCTCGCGACAGGACCAGCTCTAGTCTCATGGATCAACGACGCGAAGTCCGAGGACTTGGTGTGGTACTTTAGCAGCTCTTGTGAAGCTCGAGACTGGACTTGTTTTGCAGGTCTGATGAAAATCTTTTTTTCGCATCACGGTGGGAAGATAAAGATAGTGAATAGGTGCATTGCATCCCGTGTAACAGCTTATATGCATAGCATCACTCCATCCTTTAGCCCCTCCCTCCCCTGCGGTTGATTGAAACGAAAGTAGTCTTATTCTAGACTTACTGTTCTGACCCATTAACGATCTACACTTAGAAGACGTTAGTGAATAGTGATTTATCACAATAATATTTTAATTCTTTTTCTTGTCGCCCCGTTGGTTTTTTCCGGGCAGCTCTGTACATCAATTGATGTAGTTGCATCGTTTTTCCCTCCAATAAAAGAAGAACAATAGTATTTATCGAGATTAGTACATAATCTACTCATGACAATCCTTTAAAAAAAATTACTTCAAGCTAGCTTCAATGCGCTTCAAGCATGTATTCGTATACTCATTCCGCTTCCGACTTTTTTTTTAACTGCTTGCAATTTTTTGTGAAGTCTTGTCTTGGACAACAACAACTGTTTGTTGATCACAAATGAATTGGGCATTAGTCTATTTGAAAGAGCATGTTGTTAACTGTCTATGTCCCCATTAGTATTATCTCTATTGAACAAGCTCAATAATCAACAAAGTGATGTTTTGATTCTCTCATGCATTTCCAACATATCTTAGAAGATCTAATATAATATCTCCTACAAATCTATTAACATCCTTACCACATAAACTCAATCAAATCAAAATGTAGATTATCAACCTCCTGATGTTGAGCACGCTATACTCGTGAGTAAGTGTACACGCAAAGTTTTCTATATAGCACAGGATAGCTTCATTTTATAATATAATATTTGAAGACTCACAATACCTGCAATCTCTAAGGGGAGGAGGTGATTTTTATGTTTGTCACTCTTTCATCCTCCAAACCGTTCAACTTAGACATTGTCCAATGCCTCCCCTCTATGTGATTCTACTGACTTAGATTGGACTTTCGGATGATTCTTGGTTTTTCAGCTAATCTCCTTTCACCTTATCTATCTTTTCTCCGCTCTAGATGAGTCTCTTAAAAGAACAAAACCTTGAAAATAGACTGCTGGTTGTCAGCAGCAGGCTTCAATACAACAGCATAGAAAATTGTTCAAACCATACAGGCATTGGCAGATATTCATGCACAAGACGAACGGCCAAAGAGAGAGTGGGGGTGGGTTTGAGACAGGTGGGTACGTGACAATGGGTGATATTGGGGTCTTTTGAATCGTTCTTCTGCTGCTAACACACAGCAGAAGCATTCTATCCAACATGAAGTGTTTCATACACGAGCAATTTTGTCTTGTAAGGCGCGCCAGTGTTCAGCCCGAGGGAGGTGTCGAAGCACATCACTACTCCAGGTTCTTTGTGTTCAAGGCATCGGGTCGTAAAACATGCCCATGCTTGGACCACATCCCCACTTGTTACAACTCCATGACGAGGAAGAAACCGACCAGCTCACAAATCCGCCCGGAGACCACACTCCTTTTTCAGCGACTTTTCTATGACAGAAAAGTCGAAAGAACTCCGGGGATGGAGTAAACAGGTCAAAAAAAATAAATGCAATGATTAGCGCTTGTACACGAAGGCAGCAACGATGCGCTGAGATTGCGGTACCCTCCGATTATAGGTGAGGCGATTCATCCCTCGACCCAGTACGCGAATTTCCGAGTAAAAACAGAACGTGTACTTCTCAACAGAGCTGGATCCAATTTCAGATCGATAGTCATAATAATCGGATGGTTATCTACCTGGTCAGCTGAATCATGTCATCGAAGAATTCTTCTCCTCATATACGACCTTGTGGATCAGTACGTCGACACGGACTAACCACCCCACCAGCCATCAACTCCGACAGAGAGCACCAGCTAATCCTACAGTGTTAGTGTTGTTAGTCCACCAGGTCAGTCCAGCGTCGGAGCCTGCTCTACGTGGTTACTGCCGCCGCGCGCACAGTCGGATGTGCGTCGCCATCCATGCGGGACGACATCCGTCAGCAGAGTTACCGTGAAGACAAAGGCAGCGGTGAAATGGGTGCGACCCTGTGGAGACTTAGGAGACAAGCAAAGCAAATGGGTGATGGCAATGGCAGAGGGGGAGGGAGGGGGGGTGAGGAAAGCGGGGCAGCACATGGAGATTAGCCGGCGGAGAGCTCAAGGACTTCACCTTTTTCCGAACGGATCTTCTGCTATAAATAGTAAGGAGAGCGTTCGGGCTGACCTTTTTCCTTTCCTTTCCGGTGCCGCTGGTGGGTGCCATTGGAACCATGGTTCAGGTTACCGACTTTATCCGTTTTCTTCTCATTCTTTTCCCGTCACCATTCTGAAGGAATCAGAACTCCGTCACCGGCTTGCATTATGTCCATACCCGTTCTGGCCCACTGCGATCCCGGATCACCACGTCACGTCATTGCAAGACCAAAAGACAAAATAAATTATGAGAAAAAAATAACATGACAGAATTTTTGATTATATATATTGGTGAAGCAGATATACAGGATATTATTATCTCATCCAAGTCAAAAGAAAGCATTCTTTAGCTAATCAGCCACATGTTTCCATACAGAAATACAGGCTTAGAGAATGATACAAAAATGATCACGCATTAAGATTGACCTGAGCACAGCTGTTCTTCGGCGGACAGTCACTACCGAGTGTAAGAGTGGCCAAATCGAGTCAAAATTGCGAGCCTCGGATGTTTGGATATTATACACGGTGTCGTTCAATAGTCAAAGCCAAGCTACGACGTAGTTAGATGCGTAGTTGTGATGATGAGCGCGGGCGGACCAGGGACCGGATTGGACCGGAGTCACGGACCCGATTGTACGGGAGTGCTCTGGCGGACGGACCGTCGGACGCCCGGCAGAGCAAAGGTCAGATCTTCGAGCTCTCTCTCGTCGTTGTCGCAAATTCGAGGGAGGGACTCGGATCGACGTTGGACTCTCGAGTGGAGTTGGCTCAGCTACCGTGGAGTAGCATCTCAGGTACGAACTAGTGATTCTGTCGATGTCTCTCGCCGATGTTCCTCCCGGCCCACGAGGTTAGGATCCTACGGTAGGCACAGCTGGAATCGAGTTCGTGTCTCTAGAGAGATTTGCAGCATCGACCGAGCGACATGCCGATGGATGTAAGGAGGAAGTAGTTCGCAAACTTAATTGTAATTCTCATGCCATTCTCCCTCGCGCTTTTTCGAGAACACGTCTTTCAAGGAGAATAAAGAAAAGGTATAAAACGTGAGGCTCGCCGGAACGTAAATAGAGTGCACGAATTGGAAGGCACAAGGTAGAAAACACCCAGGAGATGGTGATGGGTGGGCTGGGGTGGGGACCGTGGGGATCGACGGGGTCCGGGATGAAGGTCGCGAGTTTCGAAGGCGACGTGTGGGAAGAGCACATAGAACGAGAGAGAGTGGCCGAGGCTTAAGATGGCTGGAGGGGTTCTGGTCCCCATGTGTCTGAAGCGCAGTTCCTGTGTACGGGTCGTCCCCTTCCTTCTCTTTCCATCGCCGTGGACGGCTTTATCCCACCTCCTCGCTCGCAAATCGATCGGAACAATAACGGAGCTCTTCCTTGTGCCCAACAGCTTTCACGCGAAGGAAGAGAGAGAGAGAGAACATCTACACGAACAGACGAAGACAGTGTTCACAAGATGAGCTCCAAATCCAGTCACGTTAACATTAAACTTCCGGCTGTTCCTCGCTCCTCTTCCGTCCACTTCTTAGTGCAAAAGGCTCTATCATGTGAGACGATACGAGACTCTTCTCTCACAAGGAAGGGATCGGGTTCCACTTCACCAGACTTCTCTCTCTCTCTCTCTCTCTCTCTGCGCGTCTGACCTGAGGAGATTCAAGTTCGAACGGAGGAGTTGTTGGAGCATGCACACTAACCACTAACTCTCAATTTAGTGTGCACAAAGGAATCAAGAGTCAGGTCGAGGGAGATTGACATTCTCTTCAATTCTCTCAGTCTCCTTTGCACGCAATTCTGGGGTCTGCCTATTTTATCTATTTGCTATTTTGGCTATCATCCCATAATATTAAGTTTGCTCCCGTATTTTCCTCTGTATCTTTTCCTGCTGGGTTCTTTCACTTGGTGGAACCAGCCGAGAGAAGAGACTGGTTCCACCGAGTGAGAAAAGACTTGAAGTTAATTACTAACTCGAGGTTCTTGAGACATAAGTATCTGATATGATGGTCCAATAAAGCATCAAAACATACGAGGCAATGCCTGTCTTTAAACCCGAGAAAATCGATGAAAAATCGATGCACATAGATCGGGCTTGCTAAAACAGGCGGAGTTCTGCTCCCGCACCGCATCAGAGAACTATCTCTTGTCACCTGATGTCATTCACCATAACTTCGTATAATGTTTAACTCCATATTTACTTCAGTCCAAATGTGTAGTAAATCGGGTCAAAGTAGAGTCACTAGATTAGAACATGGGAGCGTTGGGAGTAGTCCTTTTGGTATAAGCTACAATCATGTTGGGAATTTCAGTGTGTTTCATGATGGAAAATCAGTTGGGAATGTGTATTGTCATGCATACCTCAAGGGATTACTACTGCAAAAGTATATGTATGTATCTATCTCTACAGAAAAAACAAACAATTTATTCTATTCTTTTTCATCGAGGGCTGGGCAATGCATACTACGGAGAATTGAAACCCAAGAAGTGTATAGATTCATACAACAATGAGAGGCGTCGTTACTTTAATCTTGTCAACCTCATTAAACGTAAGCTTTCCATGCAACCTAAACGTATGATGTCAAGCACACGGTTATCTCGATACAATCAAAATCATACTAGTGAAAGACCATAAAGTCCCATGCACTGTCTGACAAACGTATATTGGACTCCAATCTTTGACCTATATGTGGGGGTGTTACAGCAACTTTACTTAGTTCTCGAGTACGTGAACCTTCAATGAAAATGAGTTTATTTTATTGGTCCCATATCACATACAGACACGCCTAACAAGCGTTGTGTCATTGCAAGCTCTTAAAAGAGCCTTGGTGATAATCCTCGGGTCCATCTCTCAGATCATGGCTGAATCTATCGTTCCAGCGGCACCAACAAATTCAGATCTAGTGCGTGAAAAGTCGAGCGAGCTTAAGCCTTCGGAAACGCCATAATGATCACTGTCATATATTCAACTGCGTCACGTAGTTCAGATGCATCGCTATTCCGACTAGATTTACTTTTTCCCAGAGCGTGCTGAGTACAGATCCAAGATTGAAGCAAGGAAAATCGGTCGTTTGGATCTATCCTTGTCACCTTGCTTGCTTTATCCTAACATGTCTTCTTTGTTAAGACAGTCCTAGCAGGATTAGCAGCCCCAAGAGGCCCTCTCGATATAGAAACCTATACGACACTGGTGTGCATTTTACAGAATAGATTCAGATCTGAAGATCTTTCTTGCCACTGACTCGACAGAAGATAGGTAATGATCTGGGAATCGAAATTAATACGCAGCGCCCATAATTGAACCTTCAACGAGAAACTATGGACGACAGACACCAACCTCCTTCATGATAGGTGGATATGTTTATGCCGATTATACTGCGGTTGCCAGAGACATTCACAAACCGGTCATCAAACTAATTCAAAAGAAGGCATATATGCAAATAGTCTGGCTCCAAAAGAGATGTGAGATTCGGAACGATAAAAAGCGGAATCCAACAGTGGCACAATTTGGAGGCAACGCCGAGTGAAAAGGGTGGCCGAAAGGATAGCCTCAAAGCCAAAAACCTTGGTCCCGGGTGCTCGAATGCTGTCTCGCTTTTGTTGCGGACGATTATTTTACGAATCGAGCACCGAGTCCGTGGCAGCGCACAACATCCAAACCTACGCCAGTCGAAACCAAGCGGTTAGGGGCGAGGTCTCGCCCATGGGTTTCGAACAGCTCGTAGACAAATCATGATTGAAAATCGGTTTGCCTCTCATCATCTCCTTTAATGATAAGTCTCTAGAAAGAAAAGGAATTAACGGCTTCTTTTCTCCGCCCGGCCCAAATTAAGCCCTGGCTATGTCCGACATGTCGAAGGACAGGCGAAATTAAGAATGCGCTTTTGTTTCTGGCCCCGGCATGTCATGCTATTCCAGTGCTGCTCCTCCGGTGTACTGCGACGGGCCAAGTGAGATGACCGGCCTCATGACACGTACGTACGTGGTTAGTGGTGGTGGTGGGGGGTGGGGTCGGGTGCGGTTGGGTCACATCGGCAGCGCTGGGGCGGAGAGGGCCGCGGCCCGAGAGGGTGACTAACCTACCCGGTATTCACGATAACGGAGCCCGTCCTGCGAACGGGCCGCGGTGGTGGGGGTCGCAGAAGGAGCAGAACGGGGAGTGAGAGGCGAAAGCGGGGGAGCCGAAGGCCGCCGGATGGCAGATCGAACGGCGGTGGAAGACGCGTGTGCAAGGGGCGGTCAGGCAGATAACAGGAGCGTCGCTACCAGGTCCGTTAGGCTGCCGGCTCGAGCCACGCCAGAACTTCGGACCCGCGCCGGAGAGCAGCTGACCGGCGTAACTCCACCGGCTGAGGCCTGACAACGTCCGTTGCGAGGCTGCACAGAGTTCGGCACAGCCATCCCACGTGGCCGCCCCCGATTGGGGGCCTCCGCGGGAAAAGCCCCGGGCCATCTGGAGGTCTAGTTCCGAACCTCCGTCTAGCTCCCCGGGCGTTTATGGCTCCGAGCCGAGCCAGCCGAGCCCGGGCAACGCCCCTGGCCGCGCTCAGCTGTACTGGCCCGCCTGGCCTGAGCCGAGGTCCGAGAGCCCGAAAGAGAGTCGGGGCGGGGCAGAGGAGACGAGCAGAGCGAGGGAGCTGAGTGCAGCTCCGCTGTGCAGCACAAGGAGCCCGGTGGAGGAGAAACGCAGTGAAGGCGAAGGGGCCGGGGGCCGGGGGGACGAGTAGGATTGAGAGAGAGGCAGGGAGGGAGGGGATAGAGAAAGAGAAATGTTGAATGTGGAAGGGGAGGAAGAGAGCAGCGGCACGATCGGACGAGTAGTGGGGAACGAGGAGAGGGAAGGAAGGAAGGAAGGGAAGGAAGGACGGGAGAGGAGTTGTGAGAGCCGGGAGAGAGTGGCGAGGGGAAAGGGCTTCTGGTTTCACGGGGGAGTTGCGACGATGTGTGGGGAGGAGCCGGCCTGACACAGATGCACAGTTCACACTTCTAGCGCCAGGGGAGGCGGAGGGAAGGGAGGGAGGGAAGGAGGAGGAAGCTTTCTTTTCGGACTTTCTTCGAGTCCATGTTACCACTTTTCTCGTAGGTTGCCTTCGGTTCTTGCAGTCGCTCTGAGTCAGTGCAGGCAGGTAGGCAGGCAGGCGGGCAAGCGAGCGAGCTTCCGAGCTAGCTAGCCAGCATTTGTTCCTCGTCTGCGAAGGAGCTCGATTTTTGTTCTCTGCTCTTTGCTCGCTCGCTGTCATTCATATCATTCGTGTACTCGCTCGCTCGTTCACCTCTTCGTACATTCGTCCGCTCTTTCGTTGCGGTCGTTCTCATTGTTGTTGTTCCCCGGATGTAGAGGCATAGAGAGAGTGGGAGAGGGAGAGGGAGAGGGAGAGGGAGAGAGGGGACGGCATTGTACGTAGGAAGGAAGGAAGGACGGAAGGAAGGGGAAGGTTCGATGAGAGGTGAACGAGGGGGAAACAGGATGGGGAAGAGGAATGAGGCAGGGCGGGGGGGCCAATGAGTGGTGCGGTGTCGAAAGGAGGATGGGGAGATTGGATGGTGTGTGTGGAAATAATGAGCATGCAATGCGTGGATGTGCTGCCGAAGCATTCTTGATGCCTCGAAATTGGAGGATGTCGTCGGGAGTGTGAGGAGTTAGAGCGTCCAAGTGCAGGAAGAATGGCGGACTCGTTGCAGGGTAGTCTAGAGGAAGATGACAGCCTACTGGATGCGTTGCTTTACAACAATGGAAAGCAGAACTTGGACCTGCAGGCGCTGGCGCTGCAGGCATCAATGTCTAAATCTGAAGGAAAGTCGACCAGGAGAAAGAGTTTAGTGAGACCTAGCTTAGAAACTGAGGACCTCTTGAACCTGCTTCATGGCTCTGATCCTGTCAAGGTCGAGCTCAATCGTCTCGAGAATGAAGTCAGAGGTAAGCTTCCCCTCCCTCTCCCTCTCCCTCTCTTCCACATATCTACATTGTCCTCTACGATGCCCAAATTACAGCGCACCCCCTCGCCAGCACCCGACGCTCGCACCAACGCCCGGCGGCAATGCCAGCGTCCCGCACACTCCCTTCCGCCTCGAGCCTAATCGGCCCTTCGTCCGACAGCTCCGCTCGTCCCCCGTCTCGATGTGATCTGTTTTCTCGGGTCCGTGGCTTCCTCTCCAGCGCTCGCGGGCCTCGCCATTGCTGCGCCTCATCCGACCCCCCGCGTCTCTAAAAGGATCACCAGCCACATTGCCGCGGATGTGCCGAAGCCTCGTCGAAATTGCGGGCGCGCGGTCCTGCGATTGCTCGTAATGCCAGCAGTTCTCGCAAATGCTCGTTCTCGTGGGAGTCCTGCTTGTCGTCGGTCGGACTGGCCGAAGAGGGGCCGAGTGACTCGTGCAACTCGCGGAAGTCCGAGGACTCGGCACGACGGTTGTCGTTCGATGTCGTGGGAATCCAGGCCGGGGTGCTGCGAGGGGAGAGGATTCGACTTTTGATGAAAGCTGCGTTTTCCCATCGCGACCAAGAAACTGCGGGTGACGGACCGACTCACGCTTCTTTGTTGTGTTCTCTTCAGACAAGGACCGCGAATTGTGTGAAGCTCAAGCCGAGATAAAGGCACTGAAGCTGACGGAGCGGCTGCGAGAGAAAGCCGTCGAGGAGGTGAGTTCACCTGCTTCTGGTCTATTAGCATCGTTTCTTGTCATAGGCCCGAGCGGAGCCGTCAGGCACCTGCCAGATGTCTATCCATCTGCGTCTGCAATCGCAATCTCGTCCAGGGGATTTGTTGTTTGATGCGGCGTTTCCTTCGGCGCTGCGTGAAGGAGATCTTCTGTCTGTGACATCGTCGGACTCGTGGTGTGCAGGTTTCAGAGGAGTTACTAAAAGTTGACGCGAAACTCAAGGCGTCTACAATCGCTCTCGAAAACAAGGTGGGAACTGTTCTTTGTGAGGTGTTTTCTTGCTGGACCTGCTCCATCGGTCCTATACGTCGGCTATTTATCTATCCCCGAATTGCGAAAGTGGGCTGATGCAATTGTTCCTGCACTCTACAGAATCTTGAAGTCAAAAGGATCAACGATGAGAAGAAAGCGGCATTGGTTGCTCAGTACGCAGCAGAGGCAACTTTGCGCAGAGTTCATGCTGCCCAGAAGGATGACGACATGCCACCAATTGAGGCCATCCTAGCTCCTCTTGAGTCAGAAATTAAAATTGCTCGGCAAGAAGTGAGTCGCGTGCAATTTGAGTCGATATTTGGTTAGTCCGTCATCGAGCTTGCTTAGCTTGTGCCATATGCTTGGAAATGTATCCGGCACGTTTTTCTGTGTTGGTCTGGTCTGTACTCTGGCATATTCCTCTTGGAGACATTGCCAATAGCTTTGCTCACTCGCGGCTCCGGCTTTTTTTACAGATTGGAAGATTGCAAGAGCACAATAGGGCGTTGGATCGAATGATCAAGTCGAAGGAGGCTGCACTACTCGAGGCAGAGAGGACAGTGCAAGTCGCGGAGGCAAAGGCCTCAATGGTTGATGACCTACAAAATCGCAATCAGGAATTACTGAAGCAGATCGAAATTTATCAGGTGAAACACTTGCATTCCAAATACCATCTCATCGTGCCGTCTATGCTTTATTACAATAATACGAGCTGCATAGTATCCCCGTGAAATGTGTCCTGAAGCAGAATGTGTGTGGCACAGGAAGAGAACAAAATTCTGGACAAAATGCACCGTCAAAAGGTGGCCGAGGTGGAAAAAATGAGCACCACTGTCGCCGAATTGGAGGAAGCCCTCCTGGCGGGGGGTGCTGCTGCCAATGCAGTCCGCGACCACCAACGTCAAGTTCACGAACTGACGGTACATATTCCAATATCGCAGTCCATGTTTGCGCAAGACGTGAAAGCTATGGAAGTTGAATACGGCTCCTGACTAGCACCTACTACTAGCATAGTCTGTGGATAATTGCTAACAACACTGATCATTGCTTGTGTGCATTTGTTTCCAGGAAGAGAAGAAAACGCTCGAACGCGAACTGGCACGTGCCAAAATCACAGCGAATAGAGTTGCTGTCGTTGTCGCAAATGAGTGGAAGGATCAGAACGATAAGGTGATGCCTGTCAGGCAATGGCTAGAGGAGAGACGCTTCATGCAGGTATTTTATTGCTTTGTGCACTCTTTACGCGCATTTAACTTCCGCACGCGATTGTGAAATGGACAGCTCTCTTTTCAACTTGAGTGGTCCTCAAGCATCTGAGCTGGAGTCCTCATTTTCACAGGGTGAAATGCAACAACTTCGGGACAAGTTGACAGCTGCTGAACGCACTGCAAAGAATGAGTCGCAGTTGAAGGTAAATATCAACTTCATGGACTGAACGGAGCATAACTGGCAACTGTTGGCGTTGGTTCTCTCAGCTGTCTTTGTCTAGGGTTGAAACGGCTTCTGGTAGAATCACGTTGAGAAAGTGGAACTTTACGGGGAACCGAATGATTGAGAATGTAGGTTCACGAGGACACGAGGGCGAGGGACGGAGCCAGGGGCAAGACTGAACTGTCTTCTGATCGTCCTTGTAGTCATGAAGATGACATAAGTGCTGATTGTCCAGATAAAACTGCCAGTTGATACACTGTCGCAGTTGACAAGGGCAAACGATGTTCCTATCAGGGCTACTTCCGTCTAAGGTCTTTGTTTCCAGGATGTCGTTTGTTTAAACTGCTCTCGGTATTTGCAGGAGAAACTCCAACTGCGATTGAAGGTGCTCGAGGATGGTCTGAGGTCACCTAGCACCAACACAGTTCGTCGCACGACAGGGACGGGTTCAGATGAAGCCCCTCGTAGTGGAAGCAATGGTCCAGTTCGCAGGCAGTCCACTGGGACGGGATCCGAGGAGGCCGCAAAACTTCTCGCAAATGGTTCTCGTCGTTTGAGAACGGGTTCAGTTTCTCAACTGAGAGCTTCGGTGTCTGGCACGTCACAGCTGTTTAAAAATGGGCGACTGTCATCCAAGTCCTTCGATGCTGGTAGATCAGTCGATGGAGGGCCCGGAGTCACCCGTGCCAAGGCCTACACAAATGGCTTTGAAGAGAATCATACTGCCAGGAAAACTACTGGTAATGTAACTAGAACGGAGTCGGACGATGCCGCGAAGGAAAGACCAGAACCGAAGACCGAAACAAGTGCTGTAGATGAACCAGTTTCAGGTTTGCTGTACGATATGCTGCAGAAGGAGGTCATATCTCTGAGAAAATCAAGTCACGAGAAGGATCAAAGTTTGAAAGACAAGGATGATGCAATTGAGGTGATCCTTTTATATCCTCTGATCCCTTGTTCTTCCACCTTGGTCCTCTCTTTGATGGTGTTTCAGAAGACTTTTTGTGCTTTCATTTTTGTGCTTGTTCTGACCTTCCGGACTTTGAACTGTCTTGTGATTTGCCTCTTCCAGATGTTATCAAAGAAAGTGGATACGTTGACGAAAGCAATGGAGGTGGAAGCGAAGAAAATGCGCAGAGAGTTCATAGCCATGGAAAAGGAGGTTGCTGCTATGCGAATTGACAAGGAGCAGGAAACCAGGGCCAGACGTGTAAGCATGGCCAAAGAGCGTGTACATAACTCACACTCTTCCAATACTCCAACCCCAATTCCCGGAAGGTGAGAATCATATGCCACTTTGAACTCATGAATCATCTTTTTGGGGTTCAAGGCGAGGAGAACGGACATTTAGCTTTTGGGGCTGGCAATAAAAGTTCTGCGTCCACTAGACATCTTACTGCCTGCGACGTGTCTGCTCCGGGCTTCTGGATTTTCATTAGTCTCTGATCTGAGGCCGTAATCACTTTAGAAGTCTTATCTCCCTGATGCACCGTCCGAGGCAAACAAGCCGAGGTGACTGGAAAGCCGTCTAGCAACCTGCTTCGAGAAAGATAGAGAATAAGAGCGATCTACTTTCGTCGGTTCGTGACAGCTATGAAGAGGGTAGTGCAGTACGGTGGCAATGGGGACTGGGTAATGAGGAGAGAGAGAGATAGCCAAGTTACAAGACTGTAGAGTACAGCCCTCTTCTTATTTTCTGCTTAACTACCTCTTTTCTGGTCTTAACGAGAACGCTGTGATCTTCGCGAATTGAGAATATTCGAACAAAATCTGAAGTGGTCGCGTCTTGCATTTCGTTGAGTGGACGAGCGTGATGGCTCTGTGCGCGGGGCCTCGAGATAGCCTTCTTTCTTCTTCTACACGTGCTTAAGCTTGCGCGTACAGGTAGCCTCGCGCGAGATTACGTTTCCTTCGATGCTACAGAGAAAGGTCACCGAAGGGTGCGTTTCATGGCATGCTTCTCTCAAATTCAGAATGTCGCTTTCCTGTCTCTGGAGGAAGCGATGTTTTGCGTAACATGGTGGCTAAGATCTCCTTTGACAGTGTGTCCATGTCATGCATGGACCATAGCAAGTCGATGTAATCCGTGGATTGTCGAGGTAAAAGTCTTCGTGTTGTCCAGTGTTCATCGGAGAGTGTCTCCAGCAAAATAGTGGACTGTGTAGAGAGCATCGAGGTCTGCGTTGAAGAGCGTGCTTGTGCTTAGCTCGAGGGTGGTCCGACTGGTTCGTGATGGGTTTCGTAGAGAATGAATGGTCGGTCTGGTCCGGAAGTATGGATGTTGAATGATGTGAGTGAAGGCTTGAAAGAGAGAACGAACGAGGGAAGAAATGCGATGCTATGCGTCGAATGCGACCAAGTTCTCACGAGATGTTCAAATCTTATCAATGTCTTGGCTCTTTCGCAGGGTGCAATCTGAGATTGGGAAATCTCCAATGACACGGACTTACTCATAGTAAATGCAGGACAAATATAGTAGGTGCTAGTTTATGAGTGGTGCATTGATTACAGTGTATGACACTATTTATCTGATTATAGGTAGACATGCCAGGTTTGTTTATAGATTGCTCTAGAGCTGAACTGCAGCATGCTAGTGACCCAACTTTCATGTGGATTAGACAAGTGGTAGAAAATTTAAGCTTGATGATATTGATCACAGCTTCCTTATGCGGTGAGGGATTTTACTTATGAGTACTACAGAATTGGGGATATCAAGTAGTTCTTGAGAGTTCTAGATACTGATTCCCTTTGTATTTATGAAATTTGAAATGCCTTACAATACAAGCTATTGTTAAGGGGAAGGTCATTGAACTTGGCTACTCTAACAAAGATAAGTGCAGCGCCTTGAGATTACAGGAACTCAGTGACCTGGGGTATGTGACACCGAGGCCAGTTATTACAGCTGAGCGTGTAGGCAAGGAGATGCGAGTAGAGCATTCTACCTTTCAACAGAGATCTACCACCTGAGAAAAAGACTCCCATTCGGTAAAGTTTCAGTCTGTAAAGTTCCAAGAGTGGAGAAGAAACTTGTGTGGAGAGATGGAATTAGTACACTTCTTTGTCATACATCTGTTCTTGACTGGTATCAATGAAACCTTTGGAATTTACTTCGGACTTCGCATGTCGCATTGTTGTCCTCTTCTCTTCCGTCCTCACACTCGGTACACTCGGTCGCCATCCCCCGTCTCGTCCCTCATCTCGGTCGAGGCTCTGAATGTGGAATTATCTCTGTTCCGTTATTTGTGTCGGGTCATTTGACGATCACCGAGCGCCTTACCCCCAACAATCCTAGCCCCGCAATCACCCTTTTGCACCGCCGCATACGTGAGCGCATGGGCGCGAACTTACGTCAGCCACATGGACGTTTCAAAGTTTTCGACTCATGGGTCCCTTGTCGGACGTTCAACTGCCAGGGCGATGCATTGTGCATACCAGCGCTCTATAGCCCTTCTGGACTGTTCAGCGTGCGCAAGTCATTGTTTGTTTTCCCTCCCTTTTGTCCCCGATGGGTCCCACCATCATCCCGCCGGCCACTATACGAAGTCGAAGTTTCCCGGGCCGACGTCCCTGCTTCCGGTCGTGTACGAGTGTGCGTAGAACATCGCTTCACGGGGCAGTCCTCCAACAGGGCATTGCACGACGCTCCACGATCGATTACTCCTCGCCTCCCGTGCCCCTTGAAGAGGCTGGCGGGAGGCCGGTATGAAGGTGGTTTCTTTTCTCCATGGAATTAACCGCGGTCAATGATATCCCACCATATTCCCAGTAAACTATTGGCCACGGTTCGAGCCGAAGCGAGAGCGTGCGTGCGTGCATGAGATCTGTTTGCCTCTAAACTGAGACGTACCTAAATTGCATGCTGCGACGTTGGATCCGCCGTCTCGCGCCTCAAATTATTGCGGTTCGAGAGGGCGAGCAGCGAGAGTCGCTCCCAGTCGTGGCCATATCGCTCGTTCGCTTGCCCACTACTGTACTGCTGTATCTCCCGCACGCTTATTCTCCCACCACGTTCCTCAAAGCAGAGCGAGCGACAGCGAGAGAGAACCGCGGTTCGTCCTCGCATTCTACACTGCCCGCAATCCTTTAATTCTTCCGTAGATTCGGCCGTAATTACGTCCTCAACTGGATCGCTGGGATGACAGGCACCCGTCCTTGTCAGCAACGGCAAGAGTCGAATAATTCGAAATTTAAACGCTGGGAAGGGCCGATTTCAAATCGAACGGGAAGAGAGCGCCAACGCGTCGTCACCATCGGCAGCGCCAGTGTCCCAGAGAAGCTTTGGCTCCCGCTCCGCCTTCCGCTGCGGGAGAAGGGAGTCGTCGAAGTGGAGGTCGCGTTCGGGACTCGCGGGGAGCCACTTCCTCGGTGCGCATGAGTTTGTGGGGAGTGGCATGCTTCGAAGGTCGAAGTGCTGCTCCGCCCGATCAGGTGAGAGAATTCGACCCGCGCTTTAATGGGAGGACGTCACCATCATGCCCGAGCACCTCCGTGGCCCGCCGCGCCATTCGATGGCGCACATGCGCCACTGTGGCCAGCAATTCTCTTGCACAGCTGCCGAAAGCGCACGAAATGTGCAATCCCCTAGGACTCACTGTGAACCAAATGAGTAAATGTGGAACTGAGAGTGTCGGCCACATTATGGTCAGCGCATGCTCGCTCGCCCGCCCGCCCCATCCCTTGCACTGCTCCTCAGAAAGCACGGCACTGCCCTGCACGTAGAGCCTTTGTCTGAGGTCGGCTGGATCCTCTTCCTTCGGAAAGAGTGTGTGTCTCGAGACAGTCCGAGTCGCTGCTACATCCGCTCCGCTGATGGAGGCAGGAGGGATAACGTCCCTGTCCAAAAGGTCGTATAAGCAGAGCATCGTCGTCATCATCATTATCTCCATACTCGACGTCGTCACTGACGATTGCTGACACTCACTTACTTCGTCTTTTCGACTGTAGAAAGCCTAGAAAGGGAGGGGGCGAGCGAAGACGGGCGAGCCTTTTTTATGCATTTAATCTTTCGTTTCGAGGATCGGGGATCAGAGTCCATCCCATGCCCAAAGGAATGCTGAAACCTTTGAGAAATGAATGCTAACGAAAGGCAGTGGAAAAAGTACATGCTTCAAAGGTCTTTTTACTTTCATCACTAGAAAAGAACACCTACACTAGCATCATAGATTACTGCTTGCAAGTAGGCTCAAAAGAAGAAGCCCGAATTCTTCTATGTGCATCACTTATCCTTTACAATTGCATTTCGTGATCTGAGTTTCAGGGTTTGCACAATTCTGCTGAACAGGTGTCACTAGGAGCAAGCTGGCGCCATACTTTTTTCGACCTCGTCTCTTCATTAACTGCTTTACCTTATATTTACACCTACTTTTTTAAAGCACGATGTGTTTTGAAGCTTGGTGACAATACTACCATTTAGCTATATTACCTTTTATTACAGAATCATTCCATTCAAATTACTGCCCTCAACCCTTAACTTTCGTAACAGTTTTCTTTCTATCAGTTATAATTCTTTTTCCCGTCTTTGTTTGGGATGTTCATTAATATGTGGTTCACAATATCGCCTTTCATGATTCTAGGATGATTTATCGCATATCTGCGGAGGCTTTAGAATATGCTAACAAATAGTTATCAGCATAGCATATCTTGAACTTTATTACAGATTTATCATAGCGAGGTGTAGACATTCTAAACTTTCTAGTTCATAAAAGGCAAGACAATTTTCCTTCATGCTAGAACGTACCATTGCAATCCTAGCAAGTGCATCCTAGGGAGTAAGGCTCGTAAGTTCCGACAACCAATGGGCTCCAAAAGTTTACATAGAAATATTACCAGCAGGACTAGAGGAACTAGCAGCAGCCCTCAGCGTGTGCAGTTCAACGACCACCGTGACTTTATTCTGCAAATGTGGTAAAAAATCCTATTTTGACTCGACGGATGTGACGAGAATAGACACCAAGTGTACAAAAGTGTCAAATAGAGGAGAGAGGACAGAGTCCGACCAGAATCGAGCACGATCGAAGGATCCGGCCGGCGTCGTGAGTAACTCCCAGAGAGAGAATGCGGCGGCCGAACCACACAGAGGGATCAGGTTGTTTCTTGAATCTGCTCGATCGTTGCTCAATGGTCGATGGTTAGGTCAGATCAAGTCATTACAGGAGGATACCTGTGGCAGACTCGTCGTCCACAGTTGGAGGTTGACGTTTAATGACATGGATACAGTAAGTCACATGCGCTCGCTCGCTAGCTTAATGCTCATACGTCGAGTTTGCGCACCACCGGAGGAGCATCAATCATCATCATGAGGTAGCCCAGATCCGTATGGAGCACATTCGTCGTCTTCTGGCGAATCACAGAGGCTTCAAGTGGGGACCTGAAGGGTACACCGTGATCCATCACGCCATCGTACCAGGTATCGGGATTGAAGCGCGAAAAAATTGGGGGTGCTTTTGGATCATCTCGGGTGGAGGGCAGTTTGACTCGGGACGCGGTTGGGGTATGGATTGAATTTCATAATCCACCGACTTTGGTGATCTCAGCAGCAGCAGCAGCACGAGTGAGCCATTATGTGCGCACTGTACTTGGGGTGTAATTTGGGCCACTTTTAAAGCTCGCCGGGTCTATGATTTCCGGAGAAGTCGACCTCGCTTTCCCACCGTGGGACGGCATCGAGTTTCTGTTGAGCTTTTTAGCGAAATCTTTGGGCTTTTGGCGTTCGCAGCCAACGTCGGGTGTATATGATCCGCTGGATTATTGATTCTGTCGACGAGGTTTCGTGCATAAACTCATCGGCGAATTCAGTTCGTCTGTTGAAGGCAAAGATTTTTCAGTCCGTAACTGAGAAAGTCCAATTCTCTCAAGATAGGTTTGTGAACAATCTGTAAAATCCCAGGAGACTGACACCCAGATATTGCAGCTGAGAAAGTCCGAGATTCTCTGGTCTCCACGGTTATCGCGCAAATTCGGAGATCGAGTTGACGATCTTCATGCATGAAAACATGAACTCGCGAGAGCTCTAGGAGTAAAGGCTACTTACCGTACGGAGTGGCTGAGTAACGAACGAGATCTCCGACTTATGATTGACGTGCTCGTAACTCCGAGATGCTTGAAACCTCCGGAAAACTTCAGCATGAATCTACCAACTGACTCCGCTTCATAAACACTCTCCTTTCTTTCCTCCAAGAGGCTTGTCGAGCACTCCACGAATCCTGAGGTTTATACTCTGTTTCATCAGTCATGTCTACCCTACCTTTTCAAGACCTCCAGTATGCGGTTTAAAGTGTTGGTGTGAGTGATTGCCATGGTAGCATGATTGTCTCCAGTCCTTATCTTGCTTACTAGAACAGTCTAGGATCTCCTCAGCAACGCTGGCACAGAGAGAGAGAGAGAGAGAGAGAGAGTGAGTGTGTAAACAAAAACAAATAATAAAAAAATTGGTTCACATTTGCATGATTGATGGGAAAAAAAACGAGATCTCGTGCTATTGTTTATAAAACGTTTCATCGTCTAGCTCCTCACGGCGATGTAATAAAACTTTTGGTTAACGCCATGTGTGTGTGTGTGACACACTCTCTCACAGTCTGTCTGAAGAGATGTTAATGAATATAACATGTAGATTGTGGACGCTAAGAACAATTAAAAAGACACAGAAGCCTTTTGTACCCGGCCACATGCAGCTCCACAGGACATTTCTTGTGTGAGAACATCAAACATTGGAGCAGAACTTAAATCCACGTCGCACTGCGTCCTGTGATTACTCTTTCCGCTGCTAGTGCTAGACTCAGTCGATCATTCCTGATCTTCCTTTATTTTCCTCGTTAGTAGAGCACATCATGATCCTGACCCAGTTGAGTGCCTCCGATGAGAATTCTCTTCCTTGTTTATTTTCACGACTCCCATACAACTCCTACCGAAATGAACCTAAAGGATGGGAAGTGCATGCCTCATTGACAACGATTGCTGGCACTAGTGAGCATGAGAAACTCTGGATCGTGCAGAGCCCTGATTCTGAAGTCCCGAAGTTTCGGTGACCACATGAGCCAGCAGCTATATTCACATCAGGAGCTGGACTCATGGATGTGATGAGCTCTGGCCCCAGTTTAGATGATGAAGTTCAGAGCAAGAAACTGATGAACCCTGGTCCGGCGAGCAGCGTGAGCAACGCGTGATCGCGCAGATCGTCAACAGTTTTGTCACACATTATCTCGTGATAAATCATCTTCTCCGATGTGAATGTGGACTTCGATTTTATGCTGTCACAAACCGAGCTGGTGTCCCAGCTGACCTGAACCTCTCATAAAGGACGGCCAGTCTCAACGAAGCAACGTTCGGAGCGTTGTAGTGGACTCTAAGGACTGGACAAGCGAAACGGACGTAGCTATTATTTTGTTTAGCTTCTATACAGTTTCATCTCATAGGTTTCAAATTCCGCAGTGAAGTCTTCAATACCTTATTGAACGCCGCTATTTTTCAGAGAATCATGCTCATTGCAACCGACAGAATCTCTAAATTCTCAAAGCATAATAAACTGAATATAATACTGTTTGTATATATATATATATATATATATATATATACGAACATTATGTTGACTATATCTTATATGCTCGAATTGAAAGAAGAGAGAATGTTCATAATTTTAACAGGTCGAAGTGAATTATTTAGAGGAAACATAGATATGCCTGTAAGACAAAGTACAAGAATGCTCAGAGATAGAGCCCAGTGACGCATTGATTAGCCTGAGAAGGATCTTGGAGATGTTCCAGTTTCAGAAGGATGTGAGGGCAACCGTAGATGTAGATGAGGGAGAGTGGCCTGCTTGAATTAACAGATCCTCTTACGAATTTATATTACAGTCGGTGTTCTCTCTTGGTCCGTGGACGAAGCCTGTTGTTGTACGTGGTAGCTGCACTTCCAAATTTAAACATGTAGAAGTTGCCACTTGAGGAGTTCCAGTGTCTGGACATGAGCATGAAATCTCGAGGGGAAATCTTTCTGACCATTAAGACTCTGAGAAGGAATATTGATGAATTCACCACCTACACTCTTGAAATGTTGGTATTGCAGGTGTGGTTGAGTAATTCGATGAGGATTCCAATCGAGCCAACCGTAAAAGAAGTACGTCTGGCCTTTTTTTCGCATTCATAGTTGTACTGTTACCTTTTGAGGCACATGAGCATGTATGGGAGATCTATGAGCTTTTGTCATTACAGAATTTATCGGCGTGCGCACTGATTCATCACTCGAATTGGAAAAATTTGGAACACTTCGTCAGCAATCATGTCTCAACTTTTGCTGAAACTTCTCCGGGCAAAATTATTGCTCAGTGCATTGGCTTCTCGATACCATGGCGGTATTGCATATCCCCCACGATTCAACATC